TTTTTTTTTTTTTTTTTTTTCTTTTTCGATGAGAATTTTTTTATTCATAAGAACATTATTATTAACTTACATTATTTCATGTATTGTTGTTGCATAAACATAGATGCGGGGAAATAAAAAAAAAACCAAAAAATATAATATCATAAAAAAAGATATTCGATGAATAAAAAAAAAAAAAAAGAGATCATTTTATCATATTTTTTTTTTTTAAAATAATCAATCGCTTTTTTGCTTAAAGGGAAATAAACCGTTAATTGTTTAAAAAAAAACCACGATATTTTTAAACTATTTTTAATTAAATCCAAAAAAAGTTTCTTTTTTTTTTACTAATTTACTTACTTTAAATAGTAAAAATCAAAAAACTTGCTGCAATTTTAATCTTGAATCAAATATTTCCTCTTAAGAAAAAATGGCTCAAGTTTTAAAAATGTATTCCCTTTCCCCACTTTTACCGAAAATTCATTCCGATGATCTTTTTTAAGCAAAAGTACGCAGAATACGCAAAAGTACGCAAAAGTACGCAAAGTACGCAAAGGAGATGTTTTCCAAGATGTTTTAAAAAAAAACCGCCATCTCTTAAAACCTTCTTCCCACACAATCCCACGTAATAATAAATTTTTAGACCCGTGCTCAATATTATATCATAGAATTTATCAAACTTACCATATTTTTACCCCTTTTAATCATAAACAACAATCCAAAGAAGAAAACTATTGATATTTTTAAAACACGCCATAAAAAAAAAAAAAACAAATTTACCCCACATAATTTTCTGTTTATTTCTTGCTGACCTAAATGCTTGCATATTTGTTTACAATTTATTGCATTTTACTTTTTTTTTTTTTTATATATGCATGTATTCTTAAGCCTCTTTTTCTTTACTTACTTAATACAGATGAGAAGGGTCTTGTGATTTTTTGGTGACTCATTCTATAATGGAATATCTTTTTATTATTGAAGAAAGTAAAAAAAAACCAATAAATTATGTTGTTATACGATAAACAGTTATACATGTTATACATGTTATACTTTACACTGCATCATTAAAAGAAGTTCATCTATTTTTTTTTCTCGTGACAATCAAATCATTTCATTTTAATTTCAACTATTTAATGTAAACATTAAATAACCAGGATGAAGAACAATGCCTTTATCGTAACCCTTTTGTTTATATTTTAAGATATTATTAATTTAAAAATTTATTCTAATTTTGATCAAATTTATAGTTCTAACAACTACTATAAATTAAAATACTAGTGGTATAAATGGGTAACTATAAAATATATATATATATATATATATATATATATTCAAACATAAGGTTATTTGTGTATGTGAAAATATTCAAACTTCTTTATACAGCTTCTATATTCTCTACTCCTTTTTAATATATGTTAGCGCCTAGAGCTATTCTACACTCGGCTAATCACTAATATGATCATCATTGAACATCTTTTATACCAAAAAATTATTTCTTTGTTAAAAAAGTACTAAGTGGGGTGATGTATGGGTGATGTAACATCAACAAAGGAACAAACAACTAAACATATATATATATATACGGTATTTATTTTATTATTATTATACTATATAAATTATTTTATTTATCATTTATTTATTTACTGTATATTATATATATTATTATTATTATTATATATATATATATATATATATTTTTTATCATTTTTTTTTTCACCCCTAAAAAATTATTCTTTCCTCTTTTTAGTTAGTTTATAATCAGGTAAAAAAACTTGTATCTTATATATAACCCCACATTTTCCTCACGCATTTACCACTCACTCATTTCTACCTTCTAATGAGAAAAAAATAAAAATAAAAATAAAAAAAAAATTATTTTTTTTTTTGATTTTTAATACAACTCACACACATATAAAAACTCAATCTATTATTATTAAAAAAATGATGTCAATAACAAGAAAACCATCATTATCTGATATCTTAAACAATGAAACTTCATATCCATATTCACTTGATGATTTTGCTACTTTCCTCGATCAAACATATTGTCTTGAAAATTTAGAATTTTATACGGCCGTAAGAAGATATACTTATTATGCTTATAATTTTTATAATTATTCTTCCTCTCCTATGTCATCAAGTCTTGATTCAGACTCAATCTTGGAATCTCCTTTAGTTGACCCTAATTATGAAGATGATTCTTCTTTACGTGGTGACGCTCCTGCTCATCTTAATTTTCTTAAACAAAAATTACATGATTTAATATCAACTTATATTTTACCAAATTCACCAAAAGAAATTAATATTCCTGCTGAAACTAGAGATGATTTATTAGCTAACGTATTTCAATATAATAATTATCATCCTTCAATATTTGATAATGTAAAAGATCAAATTTATGAATTAATGGAATCTTCAAGTTTCAATCAATTCTTGGTAGAAGCTGGTAATATAGAATTAAGAATGTCAAGTGAAAGTGAAAGTTGTCAAGAAGATTCTGATCATTCTTCAGTATCTGGAGGTGGTAAAAGTACCTCTAATAATAATACAAAAAGTAATAAACATCTAAGAAGATTTAGTGGTTTGAAATTAAAAGAAAAATATAGAAAATTATTAAAAACAACCACTCATACATCAACAAAAAGTCGAAACAGTTTCTTATTATAAAAAAAGTTTTTTATTATATTATTATATTATTTTTTATATATATATTATTTTTATATAACACACACACACACACCAACCAAACCACACACAAAAAATGAATATTCGCTTTTTTTTTTTTTATTTATTTACATATTACTATTCGTAATTTATTATATACGAACCGGACGACGGACTATTTTTTGTTTAAATGTTTTTAGATTTTTTTTATCGGCATAATTTTTTCTTTTTGCATTTGAAAAATCTTTTTTTGTAATATATTTTTTTTTTTCTTTTAAATTTTTTAAATTAATCCTTTGTACAGTTTAATAGAATTTTTACATATTTTTATATGTAATCCCCCTCAAAAAAAATTTCATTTTTGATACCTTCCCAATAGTTAAGCAACAAAAATTAAAATATTAAATAGGCATAACCAAAATAAAAAAAATAAAATTATCTACATTACCCTTAAAATTATCCGAATATAATCTAAGCTTCGTTATTGAAAAATGTTTCGTATTTATTATTTTGGAATCAAACCATATTTAATTATATTTACTATTAAAAAATTATACGCCTACACCCAACCCCACACACACACACACTTTTTTTAAATATATAGAAAGATTTGTTTTTAAATATAATGTAATTAATTTAGATAAAAACAAAACCAACACGACTAAATTCTTGATTTTCAATATGAAATAAAAAAATATTTGATATATTTTTTATTTTAAACTACTATTTTGTATTTATTGAACTATGAAAATGTAAATAATGATGTCCCATTATCATAAAATGATTTAATATTTGTATGTAAGTACGCACTCACGCATATGCATCTTCTATCATCAGGAGTCTCAAGTTCCAAAGACCGTTTCGAACGCATCAGTTAATTTTGATTGTAAAAATTCCCGTTCACGTTTTTGTAATCTTTTACGCTTATTCTCTGTGCCTACATGTGTATACATGTGTAAAAAAAATATTAGTTCATATAGTTCTTATTTAACCATTATGTTTTATAGTTTACCTTCTCTAGTTAGGCAAATTACGGCATTTGTAGGAATGAAAGATGTTAAATTTTCATATGTCAAGTTAATATCCACACGATCGTTGCTAAGAATTAATATAATGAGTTAATATATTACGTCTACAAAAAAAATCTACGAAAACAATGATAAATTTTTTACTCACTTATCCTTTAATAAAATAGTGAATTCTATAGAAGAATAAGCATTGTTGACTCTTGGTTTACGATTTAATTTATTATTGGTTAAAGTTCGTACTTCTTCGCGTCTCATTACGAATGCTTGTAAATAATCATCAACCATATTTGCGAATTTCTATAATTGATGAGGATGTTTCATTAATAAGAATATGTTTCAATCAGAATTCTTGATACTTTGAACGAACTAATATTTCAAAAAGAAAAATATTTACATTCATATCCTTGTTTAGATATTTAGCTTCCAACTCGTCTAGTGGAATGAAATGTGGTAAGGTATGTCTAAAAATACTTAATTGTTCATTCTCCTGATTTTGTTCCAAAAAAATATAATAAGGTTCAAGATACTTTGCTATATAAATAAAAAGATTTTATCGTTAATCAATAAACGAGAAAGAAAAGAAAACAGAAAAAGTTGATTAAATCAAATAAATTAATAACCATTATAAAAAGTTTCAAATCTTAATCCAATACGGTTTTCTTTTACAGGAAAAATTGTCTTGCCAGTTAATCGATATGCGTTCAAAATTTTTTGATATTCACGTTCCTCACTATCTTGTAATATCTCTTTCATCATCTAACGTTCATATATATATAAAAAAAAAAATAATAAATCTCTTTTACAATGGAGGTGGTAACTTTTATAAAGAATTAATATTTAAAAAAATCTTACATGATCCTGTAATTCATTTTGATTCATGTTCATACTATCATTAATATTTTCTTTACCAATGACATCACGCAAACTTTGTGAATTTTTAAAATTTTCAAATATTAATTTCTTCTCATCGCGTTCTTTCTCAAGTTTTTGAACTAAAAAAAAAAAAGAAAATTTAGTTTATTAAGTTTAGTTCAAGAAAATATTTTTTTGTTCTATTTATATATTTAGAATAAAAATTTGTTTACATACGTTCATTTTTCAGTTCTACTATATTAAAATTCTCATATTCTTTCAAAAGAGGATCGTTAAAAACGTCGTTAGTATTTGATGAATCTTTGAAGAATTTAACTTTCTTTGAACTATATTATTTAAACTCTTTCATTAGAATCTTTTATGTTGAGTAAATTATAAATGATGAAAGTCTAGTACCTTGATGAGCCTTTTCTATAATATTTAGACATTGAGGATCGCGTTCTTTGTGTAAATTTTAGGAAATGAAACCGACGCGTGCAAAGTACATTACAATAACAGATTAAAACAGTGAAATGGCGTATCACGTGATGATATGGATTTAATAAATTTGCCCAATTTTGCCCGAGATATTTTTTGGGCGGAATTAACTCAAACTAGAAAAAAATTTCGAAAATCATTTAATCATTTTTCTGTATTTTTTTGTATTTTTCATTGATTTTTATCAAAAATATCAATCTACTTTATGGTGAAATTACACGTGAAAGAAAGTTACAAAAATAACAGCTAATATAGAAAATTCTGAAAATAATAGCCGATAACAAGATTTAACTTGTTACAATCGCGATTTTTCGAGTTATAAAGAAGTGAACAAAATGAACCAGATTTAAAACTAGTCTTTGACTTGATTTTTTTCGGAGACCGGTAAATAAAATATAAATTGATCAAACAGGAATAATGCATCATATTTGTTTACAATTACATTACATTGTTTGGTGGTATTACCAGAAGGTTCGAGTTCTATATGCATAATCCGGTTAAATAGTACAATAGCATTAATAGCATTTTAGATTACAAATTTTAATTCTGGATTTCTGATCAAAATTAGAAGTTTACTTATAGTTGTTAGCCAAAGTTATTTACTATCAATTAATAAAGAGAAATAATTACAAGATTTTAAAAGAATTTATATTTAGATCAACCTTATTTAGAGTTTAGATTAACCCTCTTTAGATCAAAAAAAAGGACAAATCAAAGGAATTTATTCTTATTCAAATATTTTGCATATTATTATTAAGTCTCCCTATATTCTCTAATGAAAAATTTGTTCAAATATTTCAACCAATATCGTTAAAATTCGTTCACGATGAAAGTGAAAGACACGACGAAGATTTGGTAGATTTGATATACTGTATATTATTTATGAATTCCTTGAACTTTTTTTTCACGACTTACTACAAAGTTCATATATTAAAATGATTCAACGGTGTAGGTTGATAATAATTGAGAAAATGGATCTTCACATTATAATAGGAAAAAAATATTCCTTATGACTTTAAATTATTATATCGATCAAGTCAAGATGGAAATGACAGATATCCTGAACAATCGATTAAAAAAATCGAATCTAAAATCCAACAAAAGATTGACTATAGCACCTTGCCTCATATTATTTCATTACAAATTTGAGTTGATGTTATTCTAATAACTATATTATTTGATTGAATCATTTAAATCTAATCATTGGTTATAAATGTAATAGGAAGAAAAATGAACGTTACAGGAACAAATCTTAAAGGAAAATCCAGAATTCTGAACTAATAAAGATGCCAAAATCAAAGGTTGTGCTCATACATAATAAATGGGAAAATTATATAGGAAAAAATCATTTGAATTGCATTTCAAATTACTGTTGACTTTGAAAGCGCAATTTCTAACGTTTACAAAGTCATTATGTGTCTATTAAGTCGAGAACTTTAGAAGTTGGAGAACCAGTGATCGATTTTTCTTGTGATCTATTTGTCCCCTTGATAAAAATAGATTTGTTATTTGCAAGTACAAGCTTTAGCAAAAATGAATTAGTTTTTTCATAGTAATATTATAGTAACTGATTGTAATAATATCGGTCGAAGACCGATATCTCTCTTCCCCCCTATAAAAAATTTTATGTTATTTCTGTAAAAACTCGTAAAATGAGTCTTTGGCGGATCCATTCACGGAAAATGTAAATAATTCGATAAATTCCGTGATAAGTTCGGAAATATGAGCCTTTTAACGAAAAAAAAAATGAACAAATAGGAATTAATACTATTCAATGTCTCATAAAAATATAGGACATTAAAATTCCGCATATTCCTAATCGACCGAACAGTAACTGATTTTCGCTTTTTTACTGAAAAAAAGAATCACACATGAATTAAAAATTCGGACGCTGCTGCTTCTGCTTCGTGATCGTGAACGCCGACGTGTAATGAATAAATAACAATTATCATTATTGAAGTTGAACTATTTAGAAGTGTGTTATATGAGCCATATAAAAACATATAAAAACCTGGGTTAGAAGGACAAACCTCCTATATTTGATCTATTAATCTAATGAGGTTGCATTAAAAAGAAGCTTTCACTTAATTTATATATTAAATATTGTTGCTTTTCTAGGGAATGCATAACATCACCATATTCCAAGCCCATAATTCAATCATTCGCGTATTGTGCACAAGTACTTGACAATCCTTATTTTTCGGATTGTTGATTTGGTGAAACAATTTTTACTTAGTATCACTTTGTAACAAAAACTTTGTAACCTTGAGATCTCACTAGATATCTTGAGTCGCAGTTTTGTTTATTCCGAAAATTCTTCGGAGGTTACGTTGCCATATCCGAATATTTTTATTTTGAATCTACAATCTGTTGTTGCTTTGTACTTGTTAATAATATATACACATGAGTGTAAATGAACCACTTATAATTTCCTGAAAAAAAAAATTTTTTACCTCTTGAATTTCATCAATTTACCTTTTGTCTCATCAAAGATGATATTCACATTAATATTCGCTACAATAATATTATATATCATACAATCTTACTATAAATATTTTACAAGAGTAAATCCATTACCTGGTCCAATTCCATTACCAATAATAGGAAATTTGAAATTATCAGTATTTAGGAATGCAGATAAATTTTATAGTGAACTTAAAAGAAAATATGGAGATATTTGTGAAATAATGCTTTCAGGAAGACGTGTAATCATATTAAGTAATCCAAAAGATTTCAATAAAATGTTTACTATGTCTACCAAATCACCTTATACAACTCGTTTTCCAATGTCAGGTGGATTGGCAGATATTTTCCCACCAACTTTTGGAGTATCATCAAATAAAGATATAAAATCTTGGAGATATAATAGACATTTATTTGTACAAGTTGTCATGTCATCACCTTACTTACAAGGAGTTTTAAATTGGACAAATAAATGCTTTTTTGAACTAGAATCTTATTTGAATGATTTATATATGATAAATGAAAATACTCCAAGAGAAATAGATTTAAACAAATGGATAGTTAGATTTACGAATGATGTTACTGCTGTATTAACATTTGGTGAAAGGGCATATACAATGATGGCTTATTATGAAGTTTTATCTAAAGAGGATAATAGAAAACGTTCTTCTGAAATAAAATTGGTTTCATATAATACCGTCGAAAAATCCGAAAAATTTATTGAATCCTTTAAAATTTATTTAGGTGGTGGAACATTTTTTATTGTTGTACCAAGATTACTTCGTAATTATTTTCCTGGATTAAAAGGTAAAACTCAAAGATTATATGCTAATCGGGATTATTTATACAATGCATTTTCTGAACTCATTACACAACGTCGTAAAGAAATTGAAAATGAATCTATTGATGAAACTATCAATAGAAGAGATATGTTATCCTCATTAATTATATCTAATACTGAGAGAGATACAAAAAGAAAGGATTCTAATTCACATTCGGAAAATGAATTACATAATAAGCCAATGACTGACGAACAAATTCGTTTTAATTTGATCGATGCTTTCTCAGGTAGTTCAGATACGACATCAAATTTTATTTCTATCTTAATTTATTATATAACAAAATATCCAGAAGTTAAGAAAAAAATCTTTGATGAAATTGATAATATATTTAATGGTGATATTACTCGCCCTGTAACTCAAAATGACATCAAGGAATTAAAATATTGTCCTGCAGTAATTAGAGAAGTTTCAAGATTTCATCCTATTCTTCCAACGTTACCTCGGTATATAACTGAACCTGATAATTTAGCTGGTTATAATTGGTCCGCTGGTACTCAATTTTATTTTAATATTACTGGAATACTTCAACATCCTTCTTATTGGGAAGATCCAGAAAAATTTATTCCTGAAAGATTTTTTGACGACCAATTAAATAAAGATTTACGAAATTTATTATTTGGTTTTGGTGTTCGTAATTGTCCTGGTTATAAATCTTCTATGATTGAATTGCAATGTTTTTTGTGTCTTTTATTTAGAAAGTATGATATAGAATTAGTTGATCCTAATGTTCCTTTGAAAACTGTCATAGGATTCCTAACAGCTTGTCTTGAGTTACCTGTCAGGATTAAATTGAGAAAGTAGAATTTCAACTTATATATGAAAGAAAAGAATTCTATTTAATATTTTTAATTAGGGGTAAAAGTCAGGTGAAGGGGATTAATTAGTAATAACGAAATTAAGTATTTAAATAAAGCGATTTACAAAAATTGAAACAAAGTAATACAAGATAATATATGCTATACTATATACAATATAAAAAACTCCCCTACCTCACGATTTACAATATAAAGAGGGAGTATGCATTATCTGAATTAATCACACCACCGAAAATTAAATAGCGGGTTGGTTACATTTTTGTATCCGCGTAACTTCCTTACCCTTTTTTATCCGTCAATTTTTTATTAAAAAACGTCATAATGATTATTGTATAACACATAAGGCATATTGTATCTTTCCTTTTTTGCTTGTTTAAGCAAGCATACATTTCGTATTAAAAAAAAAAAAAATAACTGGAGTTTCTACTTTCCTCTCGCCCATTACAAAAATTTTAATTACGTTATTTTGAAAATTGAGAAAGTTATTCTAATTCTAATGTTATTTGTATGATTAAAGTTTATATTTAAAAGGTATTATTATGTTCGAAAATTGTTCCAATCCAATTTCATTAATAGCCAAATTGATCCAATTTAATTACTCAACATTAAGCCTTGAATTTAAATTCCGACAACGTAGTATAAGGTAATTTGATAGAATATTTAATATGATGATGTGATCATTATTTATTCCTTTTTTGGTTTAAAAATTATTTTATTTTTATTTTTACTCTGATTTTTTAATTTTTAATTTTTAATTTTTTTTTTAATTTTTTTTTTTTGTTTTTAGTGACTGAATGGATTGTTCTTTACCTACCGATAATTCTCAAAACACTTCTAAATCGAATAATAATCCTATATCATTAGGTGACATTGATAGTGACCAATTATTTGATCCAAATATTTTTGGAACTTGGTTAAATGAAATAGAAAATAATGATCATTCAAATTCGGATAGTCCTAAAACTATGGTAGATTGTAATAATGTAATGACAGAACTTCAATATTCCGATTTATCGATAATTCCAGAACAAGATGAAGAATCAAATAATTTATATGATAATACACCGGTATTTTTAAATTTTTAAAAAAAAAAAAAAATAACTAATTGATCAAATTTATTTAGAATAAAACGAGTATACGTGGTTCATCGCGTAACATGTTACATAATAAAAGAACATTGTTAGAGCAAAATAAGGCTCTTAAGAAATCGAACAATATAGTTAATTCAACACAATTGAAACAAAATATAAATAATGATAAAGACATTAATTATAATAATAATAATAACTTATCACCGTTAAAAACTAATTTGCGTGATATAATAGCTGTTAATGGAAATGGAGTGGATTCGAATAAGAGTCCAACATCAAATGGACCTTCGGTTAATTCAGACCAAGGCCTACATTCTCCGACTTCTGTACAATCTCAATCACAATCAAGTTCAAAAGGATTTTTTAGTTCATGGTTTGGTTTATCCTCTACAAAGGTTGAAGGAACTCCGGAATTTTATGTAGAAAAATTGTTACAAAAGAGTATTTCATCAAAACCATTAGCAGAAAGGTTACAGTCATTACGTGTAACATTAACTACGGCAAAATTATCGTGGATAAAAGATTTTATAGATTGTGATGGATTGGCAGCATTGGAAAATGTTCTAGAGAGATATACAACAGGAACAAAGAGAGCTATTTCAAGAAATTCTGATCATGATGATAGAATTCAATCAGAATGCATTCGATGTTTAAGAGTCCTTTTAAACACAGAGGTTGTTAATTTATTCTTATATATTATTGTTTTTTTTATTAATTAAATGAATTTTATTCTCATATTTTTTCCTCTTCCTTGATACTTTTTATTCTTTAGTCTGGGTTTAATCAAGTTTTAAAATCTCCATCATTAATAAATAGTATAGTATTTTGTCTTCACACACCAAATAATAAATTAAGATCACACGTAGCGGATGTATTAGCAGCCATATGTGTAATGTCTCTAGAAGGTCATCAATTTGCATTATCAGCATTTTCAGATTTTAAACAATTTCATGAAGAAAAGTTTAGATTTCAATATTTAGTTGAAAGTTTGAGAGGAAACAAAGAAGAGGAAGAAAGTAGTGCATTTATGGAATATAAAACTGCTTCTTTACGTTTAATTAATGCCATTGTTAATTCACCTGAAGAAGTTGAAGAGAGAATGTTATTAAGAGATGAATTTCATAGGAGGGGATTATCAGAATTATTTGCCGTACGTGATGTGTTTTTTTTTGTGTGGGATTAATGGGAATATATGTATATATAAATGTATATATATATATATATATATTTTAAAAAAATTAATTTAATTAATTTAATTTTCTTTTAGATTTTTAAGACTTCGAATCCGCCTGAATTATTGTTGAATCAGATTTATTTATATGAAGAAGAAAATCAAGATGATGTAGATGAATTATATGAAAAAGTTCATGATCTTGTAAGAGATGCAAAGTATGTTGTTCGAATCTATTGAATTTCTTTTCCTTTAGAAGCATATATTATGTTATATTATTCAATCGATTTTGTTTAACTTTATATTCATTATTCTTTATAGTGATCCTATTTCTATAATTGTTGGACTTATAAGACAAGTTGAACATGACTATGATTTATATTTAAGAGTCACTGAAACTCTTAAAAATTTATTAAAAATTGCTTGTAATGATCCAGGAGAGGAAGAGTACGTATTTTTTTTCTTTATTTGAACGGGAATTTATTCTTAAAAAAAAAATTATGCTTAAAAATGAATTGATTAAATTGATTATAAATATAATTTTTTAGAAATTCTCAAAATGATACTTGGAACATTATTGAATTATTTATTGAAAGAATAAGTTCCGTAACAAATATCAAAGAAGGTATTATTAAAGTTCATATTTCATTAGATCAAATATAATTATTAGATAAACGCATCAAGTAATTAATTTATTTTAATTTGTTAGAATGGCAAATATTTTTAAACAGATTTCATGATTCAATTGATGATATAACTGGACAATATACGATAATTAATGAAAATATAACAAATGGTCAAATTGACAAAATGAGAAATAAATTAAATGAGTTAGAATCTAAGGTTTGATTTAAAAAAAAAAGGATTTTTTTATGGATAATTATGTTTTATTTTTTATTTTATTTTATTATTTTTTTTTTATTTACTAAATTATTATTATTATTATTATTAGGTTGAGATTTTAACAAAAGAAAAAGATGAAGCGTTAAAACAAGCAAAATTAAATTTAAATCAAGAAACTTCAAAGACAACAACCATAGATAATTTATCATCAGATGAAATTTCTGTTAATAATGAACAACCTGTTAATGTTTTAATTGATAATAATTTAATAAAAGATAAATCTAATGAATCTAATGAGAACAATAAATCTGATAGTAATTTAGAATTGTCATCCATGATAATTTCTTCAATATCTTCACCTTTAACACCTTCGCCAGATGAAGAATCCAAATCAATTTCACCGAGTAAGATAGACATTCCACCCCCACCTCCACCTCCACCTCCTCCACCGCCCAGTGTAGGAGCTCCGCCGCCGCCGCCGCCGCCTCCACCTCCTCCACCATCTAATGTAGGAGCTCCACCACCACCCCCTCCACCTCCGCCACCATCTAGTGTAGGAGCTCCACCACCACCACCACCTTTACCGCCCAGTGTAGGAGCTCCTCCACCTCCACCTCCACCACCGCCCAGTGTAGGAGCTCCACCACCACCACCACCACCACCACCACCACCACCTCCTCCTCCTCCTCCTCCTCCACCGCCAGGCGTAGGAGCTCCACCACCACCACCACCACCTCCTCCTCCACCGCCAGGCGTGGGAGCTCCACCACCACCACCACCACCGCCACCACCTCCCGGAGGGGCACCACCACCACCACCTCCTCCTCCACCACCTCCCGGAGGAGCTCCACCGCCTCCTCCACCACCACCTGGTGTAGGAGTTCCACCACCACCACCTATACCTACGACATCGACATCAAAACCTATTCCCATACCAATTATAACATCTCCTAATATAATTAAACCAAATGTTCCCTTAAAATCATTATTTTGGAGTAAAATACCACCACATAAATTAAACTCAACAGTATGGGAAGATATACCAACTGAAGTTGTGAAAGAAATTCCTATAAATTATGTAGAGATCGAATCATTATTTCCAAAAAATACTTTGAGTAATGTAATAAAATCACCTACAGCACCTGCTAATTCAAAGAAAAGCAGTATAGTAACATTATTGGATATTAGTAGAGCTAATAATATCGGTATTATGTTAGCTAGAATAAAATGTACTTATATTGAAATTAAGGATGCTTTATTAGAAATTGATGATGAAAAATTATCCATTGAAAATTTAAGGAGTTTAAAAAATTATGTACCTACTAGCGAAGACAAAGAACTAATTAAAGAGTATAGTGATAATAATAATTTAGGAAATGCTGAAAAATATTTTAGGGAAGTTATGGAGATTCCTAGGTTATCCGAAAGATTAGGATGTATGATTTATAGGAGAAGATTTGAAATGGAAGTTCAAGAGTTGTCACCTGTAAGTTTAGATATACTTTTTTTTATTAAAATTTTAATTTAACTTTAATTACTTAATTGTTTAATATAATTATTATGTAGGAAATTGAAATAATAAATAATGCATATACTGAGTTGAAAGAATCCGAAAAATTTAAGAGGTTATTGAAGGTATGTCAAACAAATTTATTTATTTTAAAAAAAATGATCAACTGTCCGTTAATCTAAATATTTCTGTTTTATAGACGATATTAGTTTTCGGTAATTTCATGAATGATTCTACATTTAGGGGTAATGCTATAGGATATAAGTTGGATGTTCTCCTAAAGGTAATATTCCTTAGACCAATTTTTTTTCTTAAAAATATATATTTTTTTATATATAATTTTTTTAATTTAAACACTATTTATTTGATTAGATACGCGATACTAAAGCTGTTGAGAATAATTCAAAGGGGACATTAACATTATTACATTATTTAGCAGCAACACTTGAAGAAACTCAAAGTGATTTATTAACATTTATGGATGATTTACCACATTTAGAGGCGGCAGCAAGAATATCTGTTATAACTCTTATAGCTTCAGTTAATGAATTAACTAATGGTATTGATTCGATTAAAGAGGAAATTGATAATATGAAAAATCTTCAAATTAAACAACAAAATGATTATTTTGTTAAGATCATGGAGGTATATTTTTTTATCTTTTTTTTCTTTCTTTGCTACATTTCTCTTCTCTCTCTTTTTTTTTTTAACATTCCTTCGAATTTTTTATGTAGGAATTTGTGAAGAAAGCCGAATCTACTATTTTAGATATGCAAGATACCACACAAAACTTGGAAGAAAATTTGAAACAATTATTGATTTATTATTGTGAAGATCCAGTTGCTACCAAACCTGAAGAATTTTTTGGTATGATTGTATCTTTTGGTTCTTCTTTAATTGTAAGTATTTGATGTTACCTATTAATATTTTTATTTTCAAGTTTAGTTATATGCATAATTTAACTAACAAATTCTTTTTTATAAACAGAAAGCTAGACAAGAAAATGAAGAAGTTAGGAAGAAAATTGAGAAAGTAAAGCAGAAAGAAAATAGTAACCGTTTTGTAATTATAATAGTCTCTTCTCTTCTTATTTACTTTAACCGACATATTTCATTCTAATCCTATCTATTTTTATTCGAATCGTAGACTGCTGCACGTCGTCCTTCCGAAGTACCAAGTTTAGCATCAAGTTTAAATTCATTGTCACTTTCTGTAAAAGGTGATTTTGATGAAACAATTAGGGGATTAAGAAGCGGTCTTAAACCAAATCGTTCCCGACCTGTATCAAAAGTTTTTTCAGACGTAGAAACTAATTCTCCAAGACCTTCTTCTAGGATATTTAACAATGCTTCAAGACCTTCCTCTAGAATGTTCAATGCTACTTCAAGGCCTTCTTCTAGAATATTAAGTAATGTCTCAAGACCTTCATCCAGAATATTTACTAATTCTCGTCCTTCGTCAAGAGTTTATACTGATAAATTATAATTATTGCTTATTGTTGTGAATATAATAATATTTATATACCTATACTTATCATGATTGTAGTTTTAATAATGTATTTTTAGCATTAGATTTTTGGTTAACTTGTAAAATTAATAATAAAATATAAACAAAATAAACTTGTAAAAACGTAAAATAATTATTTTATGCGATCAAAATTCTTCTTTCAATTATTATTTTCTTTCGAATATAAAAATATGCAGTTTAAATCATTATTACTAAATAGCTTATTACAATTTAAATAGTGGATATTATTATTAATGTGTGCAAATTTAAATATAAGCCAATTTTATATTAATTATAATTACTTAATACTTTTAAATATTTTAAAAATTACTTCTAAATTTCTTAATTTCAACCATGACACTTTGTACATTAACAGGTTGATGTCTAATTCTGATTTTACCATCTCTTAAAGCTTCTTCTAACATGTTACAAAATCTAGTATAATAAATAATTAATTGTCCTAAAACTGAATGTAATATTGTTGTACCATTTTTGAAATTTGTAAAATGTTGGATTACTGAAGTATTTATTGATGTTATAGATTGTCTCCATGTTGCAGCAAAATCAGATGATACTTGGTCAAAAATTTCTATATGTAAATAATAATGATAACATTTAATATTAACAAAATTTAGACATTAATTATATAAATAAATTTAAATAAAATACCTGGTTCAATAACTGTAAGATCTTTTCCTTGTTCAACATTTTTTATAAAAGAAACTAAACTTCCAAAATGAGGTTGTAATTCCTCTTCAACAAATCCCGATATTTGACCATTCAATAATTCTTTGAAATAGTTAACTTCTGCTTCTATAACTTTGCCACCAGTATCCTATAAAATTATGTTATGATAAATATCTTCCTTTAAAAATTCAAGAGTAACAACTTAAAGGATCTTACATTCAAAATAGTTATAATCTGATCATAATTATTGATTAAGAATATTATTCGACTTTTACGATCATCAAAATTATTTGATAATTTATCGAGGAAATTTTCAACTTCATTTCTCAATCTCAACAAGCTGTATTATATGTATTATTATAGTTAGTTAATATTTACTGGGGAAAAAAAAATTCTTTTCAAAGTAAAAAATGTTTACCTATTTAACAGAATTGGATCATTATATTCTTCGTTTAGAGTCAATATTGATGCTGCAAATTCTCCATATCTTCGAGTCACCTAATTAAAGAATAAATTATAGAATAAATTATATAATATAAATGAATGGATATAATGCAATAAATGTACTGTAAAACTAGCAGCTTACGAAATGCGGATGAATATCTTTAACAATAAATTTAGTAGCAGCTTTTTTAACGCTATCAATATGCATGTTCATAATAGCCTGAAATCTGGGCCATAATAACATGTTTATTTGATTAGTATATCCCTCTAAAGCTGGTACTTTTCTTCTCTGTAATTCTAGGGCAAATTGTGTATTAAGTCTAATACAAATCAGAATTCCGATAGCATCGTAACTATTATCGACAAATTGCTTGGTAGAATCCTATAATTTATAAAAAGTAAATAAATCCTTCAATTAAATAATAATAATTATTGATGACTTTAGATACAAACCAAACCCATTTTGATTGTGGTATTAAAAATTTCAGAAAAAATATCTTTAGCAAGCTCTGCATTAGGTTTGTCATCTTTTGCAAAAAATTCTACAATAAAAAGATATTCTGAACTTGCGTTGTCTATAAAGGTTAAATTAAAACTTCTAAACAATGCTTCATTTGGATATCCCTATTTAAATATAAAAATTTATAAATATTGACATAAATTATTACAAATTCAAGTAGTTGAATATATAATCTTACTTTACTCTTGTTTTCAGCAACATGAACTAAAATCACTCCCGCATCCTGATTCCGAAGTGTTTTAATTCTGTCTTTCAAAACATAAATATTCGCTTTATCTTGCAGTGCAATTTTTCCGGTTCCCCAAAGACCACCTAACAAATCGAATACATTAATATAAGGTGTCGTTGGACAGGGTTGCACTCTTCAAGAAGAACTAATGTGAGAATTTTTCTAAAATACCTTTTCGGACACTCTCATCATAACCCATCATGTCATACTTATCTGCGACTGGATTCTTTAAAAAAAAAAATGATAAATATTTTTTAAATTCAAAATTAGATATACCAGCGCTTTAATAATTTTACCTGCAATTTTTGTAACTCCCTATTGTATTTCTCGAAATGATTGAAAAAGTACCAACGCATAGTGTTAACATAATTATGCATGACTTCTACAGCAACTTCACTATATCTTTCCATTAAAAACTTATAAAGTGCCTTATATTTTAATAAAATTGATTGTTGTAAAATTTGAACATTTGTGTTAGGTATACGAAGTGATCTAATTTTTGTTAAAAGAAAATCTCGTATTTTCTCAGTCGCCTAAAAAAAATTCACATTCAATATATATAAATTAAATTAAATAAATAAATAAATAAAATCAAATTACATACTTTTAATCGCAATTTTTCTAATTCTGGACCAACATCCTTAATTGCTTTAACATTCATTTTTTGATTACGTTTAACGTAAGTCATTTTCTTATTTAATTCAGTTAAATAAGCAAGCCAAATCTCATCAACTTCTCCTTCAGTAATTTTTCTAAATAAGATCATTCGTCAGCATAATCATAGAAATATCCCATCTACATAATAATGTTATAATTACTTGATCATAGGGGGTGGAATAACGGTTCCTTCCAAAACAGTATTCAATTGTTGTTCAACTGCCTAAAATATAAAAATAAAATAAATAAATCTAATTTTTAAAAATAATATTCATATACTTTAACTTACCGTACGATTCTTAAGTTTTATATTCATCGAAAATGATTTATCTTGCAATGTTTGGATCTCTGAACTGATGTTTCCTAAATCCATTTGAAAAACACTTAGCATATTTTCCATTGTTGCTAATATTTGATCACAAGACTATTAAAATAAAATTTGTTAGTAAATAATTTATAAACTATTATTTAGTAAGTATTCATTAAATATTTATAAACCTGAATTTGATTATGTAATTCTACAAAATTCTTTGCTTGACTAATATCTTAAGGAAAGTTGAAAGTAGTAAAGGATTTGGTGCGAAAATTAAAAAAATGAACAGTATGATAACTTTTTTATATATATAAAAAGATACAATCAACTTCATGTTCTTTTTCAATTCCATTTAATTCTTTTTCGACATTCCTAGCATACTCTCGCAAATCCATTCCCTAATAATAAGGCTAAATTATTTAAATATTAATTAAAACTGAATCAAATTATAAAAAAATTTCTTGCCTTTGTAAAAGCCTCGCGAACGAACTCATCTTCCTGAAATGATGATATATGATCTAATAAAAAAAAAATCATCAATGTCAATTGCATCATGAATTAATATTATTCATATGTATAATTCAATACCATCAACTTCATCGAAAGAAATTTCCCAGTCATAATCTCCAAGTAGACTATCTTCATCTTCAATAAATGTCTTATAGCAAAAGTAACGGAAAATTTAATATCTAAACTAAATTAAAAAAGAAAAAATCTATCCTTACTTGATCATTGGCTGTTCCTAATAATTTTTCAAATAATTTTTCATTTGGAGTCGCAGGTGTAAGTGAGTTTGAAGTTAAATGTCTTTCGGTATCCGCAAACTCTTCTACCATTTTCCTAAGAAAGTCGGCAAGTTCTATTTATAGTTTCTTGGTAAATTTACTTTTGGTATTACAAAGGTTTTTCGAATTTTTTTTATTTTACACGTGGTTTTATTTTTTGAGTTGTCAAAAAAAAATTTAAGGTTGACTGTTGCTCACATTGTGTAAGCTCGATCACTTTCGTAACACGAAAATGCCACGAATTGCCAAGAATAGTCAACGGACATAAATTTATAAATCGGTCAGCAAAAAAAATCATTGTTAATATTTCCCAACTTTTAAAGTGTATTTAGAGTTCATTATGCAATGTGTTTTACTTGTTCGAGATCACCCTCGTGCACTTGCATTGCAACCTTCTAATATTTCACATAGTTATGACTCGAAACCGGACGCGAATTTAGCGGTATTAGTCTTTGAAAATATTTATGAGAATTTTGATCCCTCACGTCCTCAATGTAATGTGTCACTTGTAAAAGAATCTGAATTTGATGCATATGAATATCGACAACTTAGCTCGGTATATGGCTGTCTTGGGTTATTGCAAGTAGAAAAAGGTATTTACTACTGAATAAAATACTTATTTGTTATTGATTTTATTAAGAATTTCCTTCGCTCAATTTTCGCTTGATCTTTAGACATGTTTTTGGCAGCTGTAACTAGCTGCACACACATTGGAGAAATTCGACCGGGAGAGTCTGTACATCGAATATTAGATGTAGAATTTTATTCACTCAATGATACATACGATACCTTATATGGTGTCAATAGAATATATGATGATAATGGACAGTTGCCTCTGCAAAACGAACAACCAGTGGTGCATCCATGCGCACCACTCAGAAAGCTATTATCAAATGGACATTTCTATTTTTCATCTGATTTTGACTTAACAAGAACTTTAAGCGCAAGGTATAAATTATTTGCTGTAATTATAAACGAATGAGTTCTAAATATTTATATTATTTGATTTAAAGAATAACGATGACAGCAGCAGATAAATATTCTTTTGATGATCATTTCCTATGGAATAAATATATGATAAAAGAGTTATTAAATTTTCGATCCAAACTGAGTAAAGCAAATCAAGAAGCGATGGATCGATGTGGATTCTTGGTTAGTATATGCGATTTGAGTGATCCATTTCATACCGTAATTAACATTCTTAATTTTCAGGTACTTGCTATTCAAGGATATATTGGCAGAAAAGAAGTAACGATAAAGTCAAATACAGCTTCTTTATCAGTTATATCTAAATTAAGTTGTAAACGTGCTGGTATATTATATATATATGTACATATATGTTTTCGGATTCTAGTTAAGTATTTCATCGCCGATTAATTTACACATATTTGTTAGGCACACGATATAACACTCGAGGAATTGATGATGATGGGAATGTTGCAAACTTTGTAGAGGCAAGTCTCTTTATTAAATACATGCGTTATCACTATGTAATTATTTTTTTCTAATTAATTTTTAAACCTTATTTTAGACAGAAACTATCTTGCAAATGTCTACTTCTTGTTTTTCATACGTACAAATTCGTGGCAGTGTTCCTGGTATGATATATGAAGTTAAATTTTAGCGATAAAAAAAAAATATTTCTAATTTTTATTTGTTTCAATTAATTACAATAGTATTTTGGGAACAACAAGTAAGCCATTTAAGGCTTTTTTTTTAAATGTGTAATATTATATCAGAAGGAATAATTAAACTTCTATACTAATAGGGTCTTCAAGTCATGTCGCATAAAATTCAAATATCGCGTGGGCCTGATGCAACACAACCAGCAGTTGAGCGACATTTTAATGAATTAGAGATAAGATATGGTGATGTTGATATAATCAACCTCCTTGGTGTAAAAGAAGGTGAATCTATCTTGAGTAAAGAGTATAAGGAACGTATTCTTAATTTAAATGAAAACAGCGGTGATAATTTCGTACGGATGAACAATTTTGACTTCCATACTATTTGTAAGAGTGGAAGTTATGAAAATGTCTCCTTGTTGATACACGACATTCAAGATCGATTAGAGTCTTTTTGTTTCTTTTTATTGGATATGGAAACGAATTCGCCCATATTCTACCAAAAAGGTGTTTTTAGAACGAACTGTGTGGACTGGTAGTGAAACAATTTCTATTTTTTGATGTCACGTTAATTTCTATTTTATATACCTTTATACTCATTACATTAATTGTTTTATAGCTTGGACAGGTATATATATATTCATGCATATAAACCATCAAAAATATTAAAATAGTAATATTGTTTGATTGTTTAGAACAAATGTGGTCCAAACGGTTATTTCAAAAACTGTCTTGGATATATATCTTCGACAAATAGAATCCGTCACGAAATACGACACAGAAAGTCTTTTTTCTCGACATTCCTATCTATGGGCTGAAAATGGGGATAGCTTGTCGAAAATTTATGCGGGAACAGGAGCTCTAAAGTCAGAGTATACTCGTAGCGGGAAGCTTACTTGGTCAGGTAATAACTTTACGAGTATTTCTAATTTTTCTTAGATTGTGTATTAATTAAGTAATTCATAGGTGTGATTGGAGATGCGACAAAAACTGTGAATAGATTTTACATAAATAACTTTCAAGACAAGTCAAAACAGGAAGTTATCGATTTGTTACTTGTGAGTATGAAAATTCCTATTGTAAATTTTAAATTAGTATTAATTTTATATTAAAATGACAGGGAAAGTTAATGTATCAAAAAGTAATCGAAATTCATGATCCGGTTCATGAATTAGTGTTGGAAGATATGCAGAAGAGGTTATAGATATTTTAATTTATTTATTTTGCTGATTTATTGTTTATTTGATCTATTTACAGTAATCGTAATTTATTTTACAGGGTAAATGACTTCTCTTCGAAATCTACAATAAATATATTTGTTGGATCAATTAATCTTAATGGATGTCTACCATCTGGAGAATCGCTGTCACCTTGGCTTTTTGCTTTCGATAGTCGTATGTAAAGTCACATTAATGACGTTTAAAAATCCCTCTTATAACTGTTTTGTAACATTTTAGATGAACCGGAACCTGATCTTTTTGTTATCGGCTTTCAGGAAATTGTTGAATTAATACCCCAACAGGTATTTAATTTATTGTTTCTAAACAATTGTGTTATTTTGTATTACATATTTATAATAATTCTTTTTAAAGATTGTTTCAGCAGATCCAGAAAAATTGTATGCGAAAAATATTTATTATGATTATATAAGGACCTACAAATAAATCTTAATTATGATATTATATTTAGACGAATATGGGAAAAAGAGATAAGCGATACTCTAAACAATCGACCTAATAAGCGTTCAAGTTATGTTATACTGAGATCTGGACAGTTAGTTGGAACAGCTCTTGTTATTTATGCAAGGGCGGATATAGTGTCCAATATACGTAATGTAGAATATATTATGAAAAAAGTTCGTTTTTTTTCTCTATTACTTTTGTTATCGTTTTGATATATTAATTATTTAAATTTGATTATTTGTTATAATTAAAGACTGGATTGCGTGGGATGGCAGGAAACAAAGGAGCTGTTGCAATACGACTTGACTATCATGATGCAAGCATGTGTTTTGTTACTGCACATTTAGCTGCTGGTAAGATAACATCCTTTTGATCATGAATACATTCTTGTTTATTGCTCATAAATAGTTATTCTAACTATCATAAATAATTTAGGTCAAACAAATATAGAAGAAAGAAATAGAGATTACAAGACCATAAATGATGGTTTACTTTTCAGAAATGCTCGTCGTCTTGAGCATCATGAGTAATAAAAAAAGTTATTATATTTTAGCTGTTTTCGTATATATAAATAATATTAAATTTTTTTTATTTTTAGATATGTTATCTGGCTAGGTGATTTCAATTATCGAATATCCTTAAGTAACGAAGAGGTATGTATTATCTACTAAATTAACTACTGTATTTGTTTTATAACACTCATGACCATTTACGCTATAGGTTCGAAGCCTCATAGAAAAAGAAGATTTTAGTAGACTGTTGGAAGCTGATCAGGTAATTTCATTTTATGTACTATATTTTGTATTTATAATTTCGGTTAAGAAAATAAATTATTTTGTTTAATAGTTGTCAAATCAAGTGGCATTTGGTCTAGCATTTAATGATTACATAGAAGGCCCTATAACTTTTCTTCCGACCTATAAATATGATGATGGTACCAATGAATATGATTCTAGGTATGGATTTAATAATTTCTTGTTAGTTTTTCATTGTAATATGTCTATTTTATTTATCGTATATTATTAGCGAGAAGGCACGAGTTCCTGCATGGACTGGTTAGTCGAAGTTTGATCTAATTTCCTATAAAAACTATATCATGTATTAAACTTTTCGTATTATTTAATAGATAGAATTTTGTACCGTGGTAATAAGATTCGGCAAATTGGATATTCACGGGCAGAAATAATGGTGTCAGATCATAGGCCAGGTAAAACATTCAATTTTATTTGTAAGGATGTAAATATATATATTTGTCTATAATTTAATTAATTTTGTATATATATCCATAGTAATGTCATCATTTGACATTGAAGTAAGTAATGATTTGTTTTCTTGTTTTTTTTAAAAAAAAAAAATGATTGTTTTACATAATTACAAATTATTAGGTGATCAAATATGATGAAGTTGCTAAAGAAAGATTACAGAGAGAATTGTATTTAGAAAAATTACAACTTGTATCACAAAGTAGTGTTGAAACTTCGTCAAATGATGAAAATAAATGGAATAAATTAGCAAAGAATGTTAGGAAAGTCAATAATCCTTTGCTAGATACCAAATCCAATGTTAAGAAGCTCGAAGACAAAAAGGTTGAACCCGCTGTTGGTGTTTTGATTGATTTTGAAGATAAGGATAATAGTAAAGAGGAAGATTGTTAGTACTTATATGACCATATGACCAAATGTTATTTTCGTTTAATAATAGTATTTATACTAGCATTTATATTTTACATTTTTCATTAGTGCCCCCACCAAGTTCAGAAACATACCAGTGGTGGAATTCAGGTGAATTAAATGTATTAAATATTGCATGAAATTGTAGAGTAATATAACTCATGAAACAAAATTTTCTTTTATAAATGAATAATTAAAAGCATCATCTTCCTCAACGTCATCTCTGGTTGTTGACAAGAATGATATTGATAAGGAGTTTCGCAACATATCAAGCAATCCATTTCATGAAGACTTAATGATAAGAAAACCCGGGCCTCCACCACCACCCAAACCTAATTCATTATCCTCAAATATATTAACTCCAAGAAAAATAAATGATAGTGATAGTAAGAATAATATAAGTAAAGATACACAAGGTATAAATTCAAGCAAAGAGCATAAGAAATCAAACCCATTTTTTGAGGATGATGATTCATTTTTGTCATCAGTTCCAAAATTTGAAGATATATCGTCAAAATCAAATTTAGGTGACTAATTGATGATGATTACTTATTAAATTTCTTATCAATTTTATTGATTTATTATTATTTTATTATTATTATTATTATTATTTAGATACATCATCGGTAATTAGAACAAAAGCAAAGAATCCTTTTTTGGAAAATGATGACAGTGATGGTAATAACCAATTAATAGATTTGTCCGCTAACAACACCAATTCTTTACCAAAATCAGGTAAATTCTTTGATACATTTAGCTTATTTATTTGTTACTACTATTAATAATTTTTTTAATTTTCTTAGTTTTACCTAAAAACAATCGTGATACAAATTGGACACCATTAACACCGACTAAGGTTAATAACAATAATAAGTGAGATCAAATAAATTTTAACTATAAATTATATAAATTATATTTTTTGTATTTAATTTTAATTTGAATAGATGAGTTTTAATTATTAAAAATTATTGATATTAATATCATTGTGTCTTTTTAATAACGGTAAACTCATATTATTGTATTATTTTGTATATTATTTATATTATTTAGATATTTTACTTTAATATTATGTATTTTAAGTAATAATTAATTATAAATAAATATATGACGATAACTTGATAACTTTTTACTTCCAGAAAGTATAAATGAATTTTATGATTAAGGAAGGTTACCTTAAATTTAAATACAGAGAAATTTTAAAAAAAACTAAAATATCACATTACTACTGATCTATCTTCGAAAAAATATAATTTACATAATAACTATATTTAATATCTTAAAGACTGTATTTAACATAATAAAGTAAACTCACAATTTATCAATAGGTGAAATGGGATATATTGAAACAATATATTATGGCTAAACTACAGGTCAGGAAAATGAGGAAATATAGCAATATTTGGGAATGGCTTTTGTTTTACAAAGCCATATTCTTATTAAAAATTTCAAGTAATTAGCAATTTTATGTGCCAATGGATCTAATCATCTTATTATGAACAAAAAAAATTTCAATTAAAAAAGTAAAGAATTGAGAAATTAAGAATTAAAAAGATCTATTTTTGAGCCTATGAACAAGCTATTTTCGGGTAAATGATTTATGTATTCTACATCGCTTTTTTAATAGTGTGATACAAACTGCAAGCCAAAATTTGATTAAAGTATTCAATCTGTGCAATTCACTCTTCCGATCCAAGTCATAATAGGATACATAATATGAAATTGATCTGCACAAGTAAACAAAGTTGTGTTAAAAAAGGTAAGAGCCAAACAAAAATGTATATTAGGGATTGTGTTCAGTTTTTATGCTAGTAGCCTTTATTTTAAGAAAAGGATGTACGAATGATATTTAAAATATCTTTGGGCACTATTAATGATCGATTATTATGACGTTATATGTAATCATTGAATCATTTACAATAACAAAAAAGGTTAGATTTTTATGTAACATTTAAAAAAATCCAATATTATTTATAATTTCATTGCTCTCTCTTTTTCCAAAAAGAACCAAAGAAAATGAGTACTCAAATCCTCACTAAAAAAGTTAATCTTGAGAATGATCTTAAAGAACATTTTCCAATAAAAGATAAAATTTCTCGAATTTTTCCTGATACAAATGTTCATGCCATTTCAGTTGATTACGATGAAACTCCCTCAAATAATCAATCTATACTTAAACAAACAATGACTTCTCACGGACTAGCTGCTGGGATTCTTCATGCTTATAACCATCATCAACACTTACGACTAACACCTGATGATATTTGGTTAACTATCGCACAAGGAGTTAGTCATCACATTAATTATAATGCAGAAAGATTTCGTTTTCGCTTTGTTAGCCACGAAGGTAAAAAAGAGATTTCTATTTTAGCCAATGATATTTTGCATATGAAAGATTCTCGCCTTGAAGGTGATTGGCCCGAAGTAGTAAATAGGTTGGTCGTGCAAACTGATCAAGCTGTAGAAAAAATTGATATAAAATCTCTTTTAGAATGTGATTTTTCTACAACAACAAAAATTTCTCTTACTGCTAGTCGTATCGTTCTATTGGATATGGTCAAAGCGTATTTTTCATATAAAGTGTGTTTACTTTGTGGGATTCCTAAAGTTACTCTCGAAGGTACTTTAGAAGATTGGACAAAATTACAAGAGAAAGTCATTCAGTTACGTCAATTGGATTTAGATATGGATTTTTGGTTAGATAGATTGGATCCAGTTGTATGGAAATTAGTTGAAACTTATAAAGGTGAAGTTGACGAAGAATTTTGGGCAACAATCGCCTCAAGACAACAATTTGGTTCGGGTCCTAGGAATATTAATGGATGGATGATGGCCTTCTATCCTTATGAAAGAGATGGAACAAAAATAGTTTATAATTCAATTGAACCAGATGATATTCCTGATGGAAGAGTTGCTGTTCCATTTACGACTGATACTGGATTAAATTTAAAATTTATTGCTGGATTTTTGGGTGCGCAACAAGCAACTTTTGAGAATTCTAATGAAATAGCTGTTTCACCAGTCATCGGTTGGTTTGTTATTGATGACAAAACTACAGAGGAAAATGCAGATAATGAATGAATTGTTAGGAGAGAGAAGCTAGTTTAATTTATATAACTTTTAAATACTACTACAAAAAATTTTTCCTTCATATGTATAATTTTTTTTTTATTTTTTAAACCAATAAAGAGCGTTAAAGAAAAGCCAACAATTATCTTGTTTTTTCGGCAAAGCTGATTATTTTAGCATGTGTTTCAACTTAGAAAATTAAAAATCAAAATCAATTTAAATCGGGGCCTTAATAATTGCTGATATTTGAATTTTATCCAAGAAAGGAAGAAAGGAAAGACCTACGTGATTATTCTACGCGTTCAAATCGCTGAAATGCTGAATCGATAAGTATATTCAAGTATATTCATCGGCATCGTCGCTATGTTAGGAAACTGCCACAAAGTTCAATGTGATTGCAATTATTCTTCGGATTTTCATTCATAAATTTATATGTAGAATTCTTTGAGTATACACTGTGATTAATAAATTTTTTGATATTAATAATCATTAATCGAAAAGGCTACAAGGTATATACAGTTTTATATGCACTAATGTCGCAAAAGAATACACCCCGCAGTTTATTTCAAAATCGCAAGTATTACTTTATGATCGATCATGACGCTCGATTTGCTTATTACTTACATTTTCACTACAGTGACACCTCTCTAAGTGCACCCCCACCCCCCCTGGGACATAGTAAAAAAATAGTAGAATGTGTACTTAGAGAGGGTGTGCATTTATAGAGAGTAAAATATTAAGAGCTCTTATAAGTTGGGGTTGGGACCAGGCCCACCATGTACTTAAAGAGAATTTATATAGTGCGTGGGTGCACTTTTAGAGGTGTCACTGATTTTGCTCATTTTTTTAACACTCATTTAGATCCTGGTACTGCTTGAACATCGACACCTTTTAAATCTATATAATCTGTTTAAATTCACAATTCGCTTAACAAACACTATAAATTCCAAAACAAGAATAAAAAAATAAATATCTGTTTATTTTGATTTCAAAAAAATAGAGGAACAAAACATGAAAATCAAATTGAAACGGAATATTATAAACAAAACTAAAAATACTTTAATTTGATCTAAAAAAATACAATTAAATAGTGATATCAAGTTTCTTTAAAGCGTCGATCGCTTTTTCATGCCCTTTTAATGCAGCAATTTTAAGATATTCGATACCTTTATCTGTATTTTTGGGTGCATGTTGACCTTTAGTATAACACATTCCTAAATTATACATAGCCAAAATATAACCATTTTCTGCCGATTGAGTTAAATAATCTAAAAAAATATCTGGATTAACTTTAATAAATTCCATAGCATATCTATATTGAGCTTCTGCAACACCAGCATCTGCTGCCTCTTTAAATAATGGGATAGCCTTTTTTTTATCTTTTTCGACGTAATATCCTTCCGATAAATAATGGGCTTTCCAAAAAAGAGCATTTTTATTACCAAGTTCTGCATGAGCATTAAAATATTCCCAAGCAAGTTTTTTATCTTGTTCCGTTTTATTAGGTTTATTATGAAGTTCAATTACGTTATTGAAAGGTAATAAATCATCATCATCATCATCATCAAAAACTATATTATAATCTTCGTCCATTTTAATACTATTTTCCATATTAGAACTCTGTGAATTTTCCAATGATGTAGTAGTCGAATCATTGTTGTCTTGTTCATAGAATGACATTGGACTACTTTCACAAGAAAAGGTCCTTCCAAGAATTGCTGAAACAGCAGGATCTTGCGGACGATCACGAGGATCTTGTTTCCATGCTAAAGTGATAATTTCAGTAAAAGTTTCAATAATGTCACTTGGACCTTTCTCAAAATTTAAAGTTTCTCGATTTCCATTAATAACATATTCAATAATATCATCAGATTTATCAATATGATTATATGGGACTCTGTTAAAAGAAAGTTCCCAAAGGAACATTCCAAAACTAAACATTTCACATGCACCAGTATATCGTACGTAACTACCCTCACGTTCAGAATGATAAGTTGCAAGCTTTTCTGGAGCCATCCAACGAATTATTGATTTAGGATCTGTTACTTCTTTAGAATTCTCTCCCATCGCACGACTAAGTTCGAAATTAGATAATTTACATTTATATCCGCTTGTTACCTATTAATAGTAATAGACTAGTTAGAATTTTTTTTAAGAGAGAACGGACATCATTGTAATGAAATTAGGTAATCACCAATATGTTTTCCGCCTTCACATCATGATGCAAAATTCCTAACAAAAGAAGATTTTAAAAAAAATTATCAATAAAGATACAATAATAATTTGACCAAAATTTTGTTAATAAAATTTACCAATGAAGTGAAGGAAACAAAGACCTCGAAAAATATCTCTTGCTATGAACAATTTAAGTTGCCAAGAAAGTTTTGTATTTTCATAAACATTTTTTAGATTATTAAATTCAGCCCATTCAATAATCATATAATCCTCGGCGTCCATTTTTGTAATTCCATAAAATTTAATTATATGAGTACAATCTTTTAATTGATTCCAAATAGCCAACATACCACGAATTTTTTTTGATTCAGGAGTATCTCCATCGATAGGAAATTTAATTATTTTACAAGCTACATCCTGAGCATTATATCTCCTGAGTTTGATATTACCATGGTGTTTAATGGATTCATGTGGTAATATTGATTTTGCATCAATTTTTGGTGGATTTATATTATCGACAAGGGAATTATTTTGCATTTCTTTAGAATTATCAATTATTGTAGCAAGAACTGATAATTTTTCCATCACAAGATTATGATTCTCTTTCATATCTTTATAAACATCTTTATAACATCCATTTAAATCATCTAAAGACTTTTTAATTATTTTATTTTCTTTCTCAGAATCAACAAACTGTTCAATAGTGATAGCAAGTTGTAATGCTTTATAAGCATGATCGAATTCATCTCTATATTCTTCAAATTTACCTTTAATATAATTAGCATAAACATATTTTTTAAATCCCTTGACTCCAGAAATTTCTTCAATAAACCCTTTAATATCACCTAATACTCTATTAAAACGCATAACCGATTTATAATAACCTTTTCGATGTAATATTTCATCATTTTCATCTTTATTCCTTATCAATAATCTTATTGATGTCATTGCTAACTCTACCCTGTCCGCCATTATTCTACAAATTTCTCTATTAATTTTCGCTCTTTCATAGATATCTATGATAATATTTGCTAATTTAATTGCTACTTCTAATTCTGGTACAATTTTTTCGACGATTTCTGTTGTGGTTTTAAAAATTAATATTCCATTTTCCTTATAACTTTTTTTAAATAATGAAAACTTTTTGGATTTTTTTGCTGTTTCATATTGAGCTTTATCGTCATCAGGTCCGGAAGTTATTTTGGGAAAATTTCTATTTAAAATATTCATTTTTTTCTTTCTTTTTTTTTGTCGACGTTGAATAACTCATATCTCTTATATAAATCCTTATGTCAAAACGTAGTAAAGCAGAATGCGTTTCGGCCGGGCATTTCACCGAATAATATAAGTTTAAATCATTGTATTAAAAATAACAATATATAATGTTTCAATTCACCCAATTTATACCGTTTTTGTGACCAAATTTGGTAATTAAGGGGCTGATTATCCTATTATTTACACGTTAAATGTAACAAAGTGCATTTATTTAATGATAAATGGTTGATTGAACTTAAAACAATATTAAAGTTATAAAGTTATAACGATGTTCCTAATATAATGTTTCACATTATAAGTGATAGGGTTCACGATAAGGTTATTGGAAGATTGAGTGTAACAATAAATTTTCGTGAGAATAAAAAAATTTTAATTTCACCTAATTAAGATTAATTTGCGTAAAAACATGATAATTCTTATTATGAAACCTGTTTTTTCACGTTTTTACTTTTTCATTATAGCTATTTCTCCTGAATTTCCCTAGTGTATAAATATTGCTTCCTTTTTAATTTTATCTTTTTCTTATCCTTTATTTTTTGTCTCAATTTCAATTTTATATTTTTCCTTTCTTCGGAATTTGGCATCATGGCCGAAAATGGTTATACGAAAAAGCCGAAATCTAAGAGAATTCAAGACCCCATTCATGTAACTTACTGTTTAAATTTTTTTTGAGCGTAACTATATTATAATGACGTTAGTTGAATTTCGATTATTCAAATTAATTTATAATAGGGATTAATGGAATTCGATAATTGGATAGTCAAATTTATCGATACTGAACATTTTCAAAGATTACGTAGCATCAAACAACTAGGAACTACTTATTATGTGTATCCTGGTGCCAGCCACAATAGATTTGAACATTGTTTGGGTAATAATTTGTGTTATATTAAATCCATAATTCATCCTTTCGTTGCTTTGCTTTGTATGAAATTAATTAGAAACTTCAGAAACTTCCACTAAGAAGATAGTCTTCCAACTATATTATCATGTTTTAGGTGTTGCATATCTTGCCCATTCGTTGGTGAAAAGAATCCGTGAGACACAACATGATCTAGGATGTAGTGACAAAGATTTAAAATGTGTGACATTGGCTGCATTATGTCATGATCTGGGTATGTTAATTCAACTTTTATTCTGAACTTAATCGTAAATTACTAATAAATTCTACAATTTTATAGGGCATGGGCCATTTAGTCATCTCTTTGAAGTATTTATTAAAATGAGAAGGTTTGACTTGCAAATAAAATAAATAAAATAATATCAAATAGATATTAACTTCTTTTTGCGCAAAAGGCCCGACCGTAAGTGGACGCACGAAGAAGCTTCTATAATGATGTTTGATGATCTTTTAAAAGAACATAAGGAAATAGCCTATGATTTAGATGATGAGGATAAACTATTTATTAAAGACTTAATCACTGGGAAGAAACCTGAAGACACTGGAAATAGGTAAATCTATGAATAGTATTTATTGCTACTCGATCAATATATTAAATAAATAAATATGCCCATATATAAGATCTCCTTATCTATTCGATGTGGTAGCTAATAAACGTAATTCAATCGATGTCGACAAATTTGATTATTTGGCACGTGACTGTTACTATCTCGGGATGAAATCAGTATTTGACTTCTCAAGACTTATGAATTACTCTCGTGTTTCTGATGACCAAATCACGTACGATTTCAAGGAAAGCTACAATATTTACGAACTGTTTCACACACGGTATTCTTTGCATAAGAAAGCATATAACCATCGTGTTGGTAATTGTAATTAATTTAAACCCCTAATTGTATTTTCAGTCCTTCACAATTAATGTAATTTTTTTAATTAATAAATTAGGCAAAGCGATAGATTATATGATACTTGATGCTTTAATAGCGGCGGACCCAGTTTTAGAAATATCTAAAAGTATCGATAAACCAAGTGAATATTTAAAAATGGACGATACAATCCTAAATAGAATCGAATATTCTGATTCTGATGATCCGGTAAGCTGCTATATCATATTCTTATATTATAACGAGTAGTAGTTCATTGATGCTTTAATCTGTTTTAGGATTTGAAAAAGTCAAAAGAGATTATCAGACGTATTCGAAAAAGAGATCTCTATAAATTTGTTGATGAGTTTTTAGTTCCTAAAGATTTGAAAGGAAAATTCGAAAAGGTAATATTCATTGTATTATTAGCATTATAGGTTATAAATTCAAATTTAATACTTTATTTGCTTATTTAACAGGATAAAATAACCAAAATCATAACAGATCAATTAGAACATGATGGACTCAAAAAAGAATATGTAATCGTAGACATACTTATATTGAATTATGGAAAGAAGGAAGAGAATCCGATCGACAATGTTAAATTTTATGATAAAAATCAACCGAATCTCAAAGGTATAAACTATATTTAATTTAATTATTAATTTATTGACGCGTTGACTCTCAACATTTATTAATTTATTTTTTACGTTTAGTTTTTAAATTGGAGAGTTCGCAAGTGAGTTATCTTGTTCCAGAACTATTTGAAGAACTTAATATTCGAATTTTTACTAGGAATCGTGATAAAGTAATTTAAGTTTATTATATATTGATGAATTTCAATAATCTTAATATTAGACCATTAAACTTCCACATATGATTTTTTTTTAGATTAAACAAATTAGAAAATGTTTCAAAGAATCATTGACGAAATTTTTCGGAATTCCAGAACCGAAGACTTATTATACGAGAATTACCAATAATCTGGTTGAAAGCCAAGATAAATATTGAGAGCTTTTCTAAATATAACTAAATAGATACATCTTTACGAGGATCTTGCTCTAAAAAATATGATTATGATAGATATACGCACCTTTGAAATTATTTATAGCATACGAACCATAATGACAAATACTACAAAATATGTTTGTAAATATGTATCAATATAATTTTTGATTTACTTAAATTCTATTAAAGAGTGTAAATTATTTGCGTTTTCTTTACTTTTCATCATGATATCATATTAAGTTGTAACCATTATTATAAATAAATAATTTTATTTTGATCAAATTTCATCTGTCGATTAATTATACTGTAACATGATAGCACGAAATCATTTGGTAAAGGTCAATGTACCATTTTAAGGCGCAAGAGCAGCAAATTATTTATAGATGATACTTTTAATAAATAATTAGCATGATAGTATACATTAAAGATATCACCCAAAAAATCTTATTATTTACTTCCATTTTACCCAAAAAGATAAAAAGGTAAAAAGAAAAAAAAACACTAAAACCTTTCAGAATCAATAGACCTTATGGAAATAATGTGAAATAAATAGTCCTATTATAAGATGTACTGGTACCCACAGGCTTAAGCAAGATAGACATTTCTGTAAGCATCCCAACCAACATTCTATTTCAAAGTCTAAAGAGATGAAAAAATAATTAAAGATTATGGCAAGTGTAATTTAGGGTAAGACCTATGGCAAGATGTCCAGAGTCACATTTTTTACCTCGTAAAAAATACTCGATATTATAGAAAATAAATTTCTTTATGATTAATCATTATTGTATTTATATAATTTATATATCACGATCAAGTTGACAGGACAAACATTCAATTCACAATTTGAATTGGTTGATAGTATTAAAAAGTTGAAATACTCCTTTCTGTTAACTATCGTTAATGAAAATAGTCGATTGGACATTTACATCCAATAATTTAGAATTTAGAACTCATGCTACCATAATGGAGTTAACTCTGACCTTTCGATATGTATGTAACTATGTATTTAGGCCAACTTCAATAATAATAATATACAGCACATAGTGCATACTTGGGAGACATTATCATACCACAAACATCACCCTAGGTTCACTCGTGTTTGTTACAACACACAACAGTAGATAATAGCGGTCTGTGACTTTGTGTAAAAATTTTTCAATTACTACTTATCCAATCATTTTATCCATTTCCCCCATCATAATAACAAAGGATAAAATAAAGCATAATCATCCAAATCAAAACTGCACCCAGATATAAGGGAAAGTAATATTATTCCCAAATGTAAAATACATTAAAATGTATCATATTATGTTAGCATATCATGATCAAGTATGCCCACGACACAGAAATATCCATATTGCATGTGAGACCACCTATATAGCATCATCATAGCTACGACTTGTGTACAAAGCAGATAACTACTAGCCAGTAGCACATGGTACGTACTACGAGAACTTAAACTCCACGCTTAAAAACAACGCATGCCCGTAAAGCAAATACTCGCCCCAAATTCTTGAGTTATAGTTTAATAAATTCTATTACAAATCAAATACAGAAACAGGAATAGATTTTGATCCTCCTCTTAATATCTTTTTGATTTGCTGTCTTAGTTACATTCTGTTTAAATTGATGAAATAATCTTGTCCATTTAGACTAGCACCAACTAAACCGTTTAGTTCTAATATATTATTGGATTAGTATGCACACTCACTTACACCGAATAGTCGAAGACTTGTGTTAAAACTTTTGCTCAGTAAAAAAGAGTAAATCTATTCTAAGTATATAAATTAAATATATTTTTTTTAAAGAGACATAAAAAAATGATTATTATAGTATGTTTAATAAATAACTAATGTGAAGATATAAAAAAGAATAAAGTATTTTTTTTCCTCTCATATAAAAATTTTTGAATTTTAATATTAATATAAAAGTTTTTATGATCATTTCAAATCATTTTATCTACTGATATTTTGCATAACATTTTGTCATGTATTTCCTGTAAGGCTGTGACTGTTGTCTTTAAACAGATCAAAAGTATAAAAATACTATGAGTTCAATACACTGAGTAACTGATATAATTTTACTTCAGTATTACATACTAACCCTTCTCCTACTGTATATCTTCTTTTTTATCTGTAAAGCCTGTTTCATTAAAATTATGCTAAACAGGGAGCGCATGCTTGCCTTGATAAATAGATGATAGTTTATCACAAATTTCAACTATCCTTCTTTGGTAACAAGTACGGTGAATGGAATTCATATTTACTTTTTCTTGTATTAGATCAAAGTTCATAAAAATAAAAAAAAAACTGTTAGTATGGTTAGTATAGGAAGAGAAATTTCAATCTGCTATCACCATAAAAAAAAAGTTTCTGGTAAAGAGATGGTACAGAGGTAAGTTTTTGATCCACCATTCCAATTGCGTGATGCTTTCTGGGGAAAGTTCGATAATACCATTCCAACCTTGCTTCTTCAGACCAATATTTTTGTCTCTTAACAGGGCGCAAGAGTGCAATCTGGCTGTGAACAAAACGTCTGTTGTTGCTGTGATCTTTCCGATGAGAGAAGCTAACTTGCGAATCGGAATTACCTTCCTTACTCAAGACTCTACCTCTTATTAGTGTTGATAGATCCAACATCCTGCCCTAGATCTTGCACAATAGTCCCTACTGTCATAGTCCAAACATGGGAGCCAAGATACTCAAGCCAGTCACCTATATCTTCTCCTTCGTTGATGTACTACAAAGAGCAAAGAAGCAATTGTGCTATCTAAACTAAGCTAAATAATATTGCACTTCTGCTTTAACAAAAGTTGGAGATACCTTCTTTATCTCTTGTTTTCTCTTCTACTCCAAAAGAGCCAAAAATACGTCATGGATGTTGAACAACACATTTTACTCTCACTCAATAGTGCTAGAGTTATTTTTTATATGAAAGTATATTTATTACATGAAAAGTATATTTTTTTAATAAAAAGAGACAATTTTTGGTATTAAGATGTTCAAGCCTTAGGTTAGACAGGATATTGACGTTTGTGAATGTTATCACTGATTATATTTTGTGTCTTAGGCGCAATAAAAGAAAAGCACAAACTACTTTAACTATATAGTATACTGTAATAAACAAATAATTTATTTACTAGTTATATATATCGTTGAACAAACAATTGATCATCTACACTTAGATGATTTGAAATACTTCATAATCTTCTACAGAAAAATAACTATTGGTTTTTCTTATCTGTTTTTCATAATCGTACATTTCACAGTAACTATAACTATAATAATTACCTCCCTTTATAATAAGGTCAGAGTAACCAAACGATGGAGCGTATAATATCGAATTATATATAGCTCGCTCTTCATTCTTTACTCGACTTAAAATATGATTTTCAACATTATTACCCTTAAAAGAGAATATAAAACTATCATTAGTATCCCCATAACCATTATTAGATTTCCACTCAAGTGGATTATATCCTCCAAGAATTTCATCACTATCTTTCACTTTAATAATCACTACGGTACGAGGTATATAATTACAAGATTTATGAAATCTTCTACCATCATAAGATTCACGAAAAATTAACTCAAATTTATGTAAGGTAGATGATTTTTTTGATGTATCTAATTTATCAATCCACTTTGATATTAATTCAGCATGTTGATTTGAAATAATTTTTGAATCAATATTCATTGAAATAACTCCACGTGGTCTTGATTTATCTTTTGGCTTATTAGGATTTAAAAAATATTTAACTAAATCTTCACAAAATTCTTCGGAAAAAACTTTTTTATAAGGATAAACTTTCTCGGAAAATTCTTCTGAGGTTAAATTATAGAATCTAATAAATGGAATGAATTTTTGTAAAATAATTTTCAAAGTATTGAAATCATCATCTGAATAATTAGAAGGATCTAAGGGTAACTCAGGAGTTCGAGCATGACACCATCTAAGGACATGTTCCCATATTTGAATTTCACTCATTTTAAGATCATCATTTTGAATGAGAGAGATCAAAAATTTTTCTGGAATTGAAACAAAATCAAGTGATTTAAATATCTTTTCTGGTTCTTCAGATAATAAATTCGAACAATATTCTTGTAGTTGTAACAAAGAATCTTTTTTATAACTCGCTTGATATATAAGATTGAAATTTTGTTCTATCCAACTTGGTTTGTTTTCAATTAAATAAGACTGTAAATAATCAACTAATTCTTGAAGACTTAGTTTACTAGCAGCGTCCAAAATTTCAATGATCTCTGAAGTATCATATCCTTCCAAAGTAAGCTTGCCTCCGTAAATATATCTTAGATAAATTAATAAGCAAAGAAAAATAAATTATTTATTATTGTTTTATAAACAATTGAAAAATACTTACTTTAATATTACTTGAAAGATTTCAGGTGAAATATTTGATAATTTAATGTTCAATAAAGTTCCATCAATTTCCGTTCTATTAGTCGAGAGAATCCTTCGCAAGTAAGGGGAACGGTAGCATAAAATTACCTTGTGAGCACGGAATATTTTTACAGAAGGGTCACTACCAACTTCAATAGTAACATCATAATATTCATGATCGTCCAATATTTCAAGAAAATTTTGCGATAATTTTGGTAAAAATATATTTTCAACCATTATGTAAATTAAATATAAAGCGTTAAGCTAAAAAAAATTTTTTATTTTTTTTAAAAAAAAAATTTGTTGGTCTTTATAAATCATTAATTGGCGCAGATTTATGATTTCCATTCCGAATTTTGTAAGGTTACACGCATACGGAGAAAACAAAGTTCCTCCTGCACAAATTAACTCTTTTGAGTTTCTTTTCCAAATAATGGAAAGGTAATTCAAAACCGATATCAGATATGAATATCAGATTCATATATGGGAAATCGGTCACCAGAAAATAAATAATATACATATAAATTTAAGTACTTTTAATTAAAAAACGTTTTAATATTTCTGATACATAATTTTTGCACCTTTTGCATTTTGAAATTCAATCATTAAAATATTTTTTTTATCTTTAATATCAAAAATTAAAATAATATAGTTTTTCGTTATAGAAATTAAATCTAATACAAACATCCATTATAAAGAATCAAGTATTATCTTGATCAATTTATATATAAAAAGTTACATAGTGCTTTCGTTGCAATAACTTATAAAGTTTTACGTAAGCTAAACAAAAAACATCGATCAATTGGAGGTAAAAGTATCATCTGTATCTGTAATCCTAGTTTTATCATCAAATAACACCAATCTATCCAACAATATTAGTAATTCCACATTTGGTATATCCTTTACATGAAAAAACCATATCCAAAAGAATGATACGACTAGCAGTAAATTTTTGTGTTGTAGAAAAATCACAAAACGATATCCTTGTGCAATAGCGTATCATTAAATAGAATGATTGTTTGAGGTTTCGTCGTAATCAACTAAAATCATGAATTTGTATCAAGATAATTTTGAGGTTTTATTTTAGTTAAATATGTCCTTCTCAATGTTAGCTTTTTTTAGCGAGCATTTTTTTATCTTAAAAAAGGACAGACTACATCAATATATAAGTCACTAACTAACCCCCTCCAGAATCCGGAGGAATCGTTCCGCCAATTATTTACAGACTAAAAGGCCGCGTCTTTTTTAGCGAGCATTTACTGAGATCGTCACTCATGTGACATTGTGACATTTGATTTTGATTGATAAAAATTTAAAATTTTTTTTTCGTAATACTGTATATTCTTGATACTAAGGGTTGGAGCTTGAACTTAATCTACCAACTAGTTCGTAATAATTAATATCTTTCACCATTCCGGGTATGCCATCCTAGGTATAAACTAAAATCGAGGAATTTTCACTACCTGCTAGCCTAACAACGCATCTAAAAGGTTTTTATTGTTATTCGGTTAAAAAATAGATTTCTTGAACCTTGTTTTTAACCCATTTTCGCGTTTGCAGATGCGTCATGCTAGACTGTATAGTTTTAGGTGGAATTATTTTTCTTTTCCGGTCGAAATTGGAGTGGTTTCGCCCTCAAAGATGAAATCAAGAAATTTCGCAATATTGATTCCAATAGCCTGAACTTATGGAAAGTTGAGATTTCCGTTGGAGACAATAGACCGGATATACTTAAGAACGCAGAAATTGATATTGTTGTGCGGGAATTCTTAAATCCGATGCATAATATTACTAGACATTTCCCAAAGATTATACTCCTCCAGAAGAGTATGTCAACATAATCGTGCAGTGTCATTGTGCCACCACTAGTAAGTGTCTCCCAATGGTTTACTTCCGATCAAGTAATTTGTGTTAACTCATTCTTGTTTTTTATTCGATTAGAGAAAAGAAAGATTGAAGATTCGATCGAGGAAAATTAGTACTGAAAGAAATGGAAATTTTATTAAATAAAGGTATTATTTTATCGTTTAATGGTCACTTTTAAAAATTAAAATTTCTAACTTATACTTTTCAAACAAAATGACAATATTTAATCAATATATTATCAGCGATCAAAACAAGTAATAGAATTTTTTCAATTCCACCGTTGTCAGGAACCGAAGTGTATACTATTAATCGTACTTGATAGCAATGAAGGTGTGAATTTTAGACGACTGGAAACTCAAGCATTGGGAAGATATATTTAGAATGTTATTATTAGTGGAACTTCTTAAAAGAGGGCAGTCAGTTCTTGATGGATGATAAGATTACACGGCATTTGTTTCTCTTAAAGGCGAGCTATTCTAGGTAAAAAGGAAGAATACAGACTATGAGCACAATAACAAAATATCTGGTGCATAATTGATGGAAAGGAGCCCAAGTAGACCAAATTTTTTCTGAGCAAAATTATTAATGGTATCTTCACCTAAAAAAGAAAATTATCAAGGCACAAAAGACTGAAATATTCTACATGCTAGCTTAGGAAAGGGACAAGTTTCTTGATTATGAAGAAATATACGATGAAGGTGCTACTAAAAAATTAGTTGAGGAAACATTTGAGTTATACGGAGGGAAGCGGTTTGTTTGACGGATATTAGGACTACCGAATAAATAAAAAAAAGAAAGGAAAGACTACTATAGAAATCAAATCTAATATATCTGATGAACGATGACTCTATTCAGATACCGCCGAATGATACGAATCTAGATTTGTAAAAGTGCTAGAATCCTTCTCGGGTGATGAGTTAGTCACAAATTAATTCACGTAAAATCAAAATCTCACTCGAATATAATTGAATTCAAAGGACTTAACAAAGATGGCGGTTCTTTATGTACATTTGTTTGACTTATATTCACCCAAATTTATTATTTCAAATCACCATTGCTAGCAAACATCGAGTCAAACGAGAAGGACGACTGTTTTTAGCAACTAAAGAAAGGTCTTATGAGTTATGATATGTCATGGTTGATATATCTACTGCTAAAAGTAATTATTCTTATTTGAATGTATTAGGACCGGATTATATGTATGCATATAGAGCTCAGTTATATGCAATTTGAACAAGGATAACGATAAATAAATTTACGTCTTGCTTGTTTTTTGTATTACCGGAGGGTAAATTTGAAACACAAAAAACAGAATTATTTAGATGGGACTAAGAAAGTAAAAAGTGTTATTGGTTGGATCAATAGAATAGAGCAGTATTTAAGAGCTTGCAATGATGTGAAGTATTTTTTGTTGAAAATGGAATTATCCTTCTAATCCTATCAAAGCTGATCATTTATCATGCGGTAGACCTTTTGTAGCGTCTGGTTCATATCATGTTATCTAGTTCCTTGTACGAATTTAAAGTAACGTTTAGAGAACATATTACTCCTACTATTTCTTTGATGAGAGAATTTCGGATATGTTGTTTGAAATGATAATTCATTTTCAAATAAGTTCAATTGTTTTCATATAAAAGTTTTTTTTTCAAGATTAGATTAATACAAAGATAGTTAAGATAGTACTAAAACATTATATAGCTAAGAGAATTATTGATTATCTTATTATATATATTAGTATTACACGATAAATGAAAATATATTTTGTATTAAATAAGAGCTATCAAAAATTTATTGTTAAAAATAAGGAAGCTTTATTGAAATTGGTGCAATAAAAAAAAAGAAAAATAAATAGCCTCAATATAATTTCTTTTCTAATTTCATCTTCATCTTCATCTACTGTAATTTTATCATCAATAATTAACCAATAATTGGTGGAGTTTTTTTTTTGAAAAGTCCTGCAACAAATTTTTTTTAAGTTTAGTATCAGCTGTAACCCTCATATAGATTTATTCATTTTCATTAATGGAATAGACTTTCAATGAAAACCTGCCGATTTCGTGGCACCTTTTTTCAAGGAAGGCTCGCCATAAAACTACACGATCATGTATAAATTAATTAGGCACAATAAAAGATTAATTTTGTAACAGATCCCGGATCTTTTTGGAATAGGATAGCGATCTTCTGAAATATATTAAATTCGGTAAATAGCTTTGTGTAGAACGCCACAGTAAAAGCAGAAACTAACTAAAGTAAGTTAAAAGCGCTCACCCACAAGGGGTTCACAAAAAAGAATTAACACGTACGTCGCTAGGCTAGCTAAAAGACAACACACTGGAAATTTAAAAACATTAACAACAAAAAGGGAAACGTTTAAAAATAAACCAGGCCGTATTGATCTTTCGCTTGCTGCATCGTCAGGAAATGCATCGAATTTTGTGGAAATCTAATATTTACAAACACTCTGTGACAAAAAACGTGGTATTTTCGGTGTACAGTATATCCACAAAGTTCGCGTAGGATATATGGGAATGTAAGTAAACGTATAATTACGTTTATTACGTTTAACATATGGAGTAAGACCTTCATTATTTGTGTTGGTAGCGTGAAATCTAGATCAAAATTGAAGAGGATTCATATTCAAACCAAATCGAGGAGAAGGACATTGAAAATTTTCTTCGAGGTAATCCAGCGAATAATCTGGGATACCGTCTTATACTGTATATATTGACATCTGCATCATCATACTGATGTTTTAAAGGAGTTGAATAGTAAATAGGACGAGAAACATGTATTTATTGTAATGAATGATATAGTGCACATGACTGATAAGCCACGTGGGACTAAACTTTACTCATGAACGAGAAAGATATTATAATATTAGAGTTATATTAAATAAATAATAAAAAATAATTGTTTATAAGTAAACTATTTCAATAGGCGAACGAAGTTATCGCAATAATATGATCTGATCTTTAAATGAAAGGATATTTCAATTTTTTTTTTAGTAATTTGTAAATTAGTAATTTAGTAATTTAATTGATTTTTATTTGATACGAAAGTTTTTCAAATTTAAATTATTTTAGAGGATAGTATTAAAATATTATATAAAGAATCGTTGATTGTCTTTTTTATATGTAACTAAATATACGAAAACGGAAAACGCGATATTTGACATATTAAACAAGAGAAACAAATTAAAAGTTATCTAGTGGATAAGTGTTATTTATTGAACTTTTCAAAATGAGAAAATCAAAAGAAACTTATTGAAGTTAATACATAATTCACAAATTTAATGGAAAAAGTGATAAAATAAGAAAAAGCCTTATTTGGTAAATATAAAATATGGATAAAATGAACTTTAATTTTATGAATCATGCCTTATCTTTGGTTTTACCTTCATCTGCAGCAGTTTTATCATCAATAACGAACCAACCAATAACTGGTGAAACATCTAATTCATTAGAATTCTAAGTGAATTATAAGTTACTTTATTTCCATCTTTTGCATAAGGAAAAAAGGCCATCATCCATCCATCAATATCACCATTGTAACCCGAACATATTGTTGCCTTGAAGCGATTGTTGCCCAAACCTTCTCATCAATTTCACCTTTATAGGTTTCAACTAATTTCCATACAACTGGATCCAATCTATCTAACCAAAAATCTATATCTAAATCCAATTGAGGTAATTGAACGACTTTCTCTTGTAATTTTGTCCAATCTTCTAAAGTACCTTCAAGAGTAATTTTAGGGATTCCACAAAAAGTACAACCCGTATAAGAAAAATATGCTTTAACCATATCCAAAAGAACGATACGGCTAGCAGTGAGAGAAGATTTTGTTGTTGTAGAAAAATCACAAATTATTTATCAAAAAAAACTAATTATTAAAAAAAAAAAGATTTTTACTGGGGGTGATCATCACCGTTGGCCGGAATTATCAATTTTTACCGGCACTATATTTTTTTACTGCTGGTCGATCGTCGTAATTTCAGTCACCGGTGATCATCACCCCGGTGATAGTTAGAAAAATTCAAAAAAAAAATCCCAAAAAATTTCTAATAGAGGTTTTATATCAATTTTTTCTACAGCTCTATCAGTTTCCACAGTTAATAACTGAATTCTATTGCTCTAGACCAATTTCCTTGAAGTCGAGAATCTTTACATACAAAATACCATTAGTATAATAATTATATCTTTTTTACCTTTATGGTTAACAAAACGAGAACGAAAATTTTCTGCGTAAATGTTGATGATGGTTATAAGCATGAAGGATTGCAGCAGTTGTATCATTAAGTATAGACTGATTGATTGAGGTTTCATCGTAATCGGCTGAAATAGCGTGAATTTTTGTATCAGGATAATTTTGAATAATTTTGTTTTTAACTTTTTAACTGAAATATGTTCATAGTGTTTGTTCTCAAGAGTAATATTTTTAGTGAGGACTTGGGTACTCATCTTTGTGTTTCTTATGAAAAGAAATTAATATGAATGAAATGAGATTATGGCATATACAAATTAATTAAGTACAATAGGAGACTACAGCATGTGTTAGTATCGTTCTGCGGTGCTAACTTGACCCGCATAATATATTTTGCAATAAGGGGTCAAAATGATGCCACCAGAAGGGTCAAGTCCGATACTTTTGCGTTAAAACCGTGATCTGATGTATCCAGAACGCAAAAGTATCGGACTTGACCCTTCTGGTGGCATCATTTTGACCCCTTATTGCAAAATATATTATGCTGATCAAGTAACGATACATTTGCATCCAGAACTGTTATACTGTTTTTTTGATTATTGATGTCAGTACATAACGTGATAATATGTAGTCCTTCGGACTAAAGAAAATATATGCTTCAGCCTTCAGGTGACGACTTATGTAAACATCAAACATTTCTTTTAACAAATGTGATGAATTAATTTACTATTAAAGAAAAATTTAGAATTTGTTTATTGTTAAAATCTAAAATAATATTATTTGCTTAATTGGTTGTATGAAATTTATTATATTAATAAGTCACGTGGAGCTAAACATTTTCTGGGTACAATAAATTAACTCATGAACGAGAAAGATATATTAATATTAGAGTCATATTAAATAATAGAAAATAGTAAACTATTCCAATGAGCGAAAGAAGTTAACACAATGTTAGGAATAATATGTTTTCTGCTCTTTAAATATCGCCCTATGAAAAAAGTTTGTGCTAAATTTATGCCAAATGGGTTAATACGATATTTGTGTTCGAATTTTATATTATATTTTAGTACAAATTTCGAACCTTTAATATAGGGTCGGTTTCGTCGTTTGAAAGGATATTTCAATTTTTTTTTATAATTTGTAAATAGTAACTTTTGTTTTCAAATTTAAATTATTTGAGAGGATAGTATTAAAATATTATATAAAGAATCGTTGATTATCTTTTATATGTAAGCTTTCTAAATATACGAAAACGGAAAACACGATATTTGACATATTAAACAAAGTTATCAAAATTCAATGTAGCGTTCTCATAGTAGATAAGTGTTATTTATTGAACTTTTCAAATGAGAAAATCAAAAAAAAACTTAACAATTAAGTTAATACATAATCATTCACAATTTAATGGAAACAATGATAAAATAAAAAGCCTTATTTGGTAAATATAAAAATGAACTTTTATTTAATGAATCATGCCTTATCTTTGGTTTTACCTTCATCTGCAGTTTTATCATCAATAACAAACCAACCAATAACTGGTGAAACAACTAATTCATTAGAATTCTCAAGAGCGTATTGTTGCGCGCCTAAAAATCCTGCAACTAATTTTAAATAAAATCCAGTATCGGTCGTAAATGGAACTTCAACTCTTCCAGTAGGAATGTCACTTGGTATAAGTGAATTATAAGTTACTTTTTTTCCATCTTTCGCATAAGGAAAAAAGGCCATCATCCATCCATCAATATCACCATTGTAACCCGAACCATATTGTTGACTTGAAGCGATTGTTGCCCAAAACTTCTCATCAATTTCACCTTTATAGGTTTCAACTAATTTCCACACAACTGGATCCAATCTATCTAACCAAAAATCCATATCTAAATCCAATTGACGTAATTGAACGACTTTCTCTTGTAATTTTGTCCAATCTTCTAAAGTACCTTCAAGAGTAATTTTAGGGATTCCACAAAGAGTACAACCCTTATAAGTAAAATATGCTTTAACCATATCCAAAAGAACGATACGACTAGCAGTAAGAGAAGATTTAGTTGTTGTAGAAAAATCACATTCTAATAGAGGTTTTATATCAATTTTTTCTACAGCTCTATCAGTTTCCACAGTTAATAATTCTATTGCTCTAGGCCAATCTCCTTGAAGTCGAGAATCTTTACTATACAAAATACCATCAATATAAATAATTATATCTTTTTTACCTTCATGGTTAACAAAACGAGAACGAAACTTTTCTGCATTATAATTAATGTGATGACTAACTCCTTGTGCAATAGTTAACCAAATATCATCAGGTGTTAAACGTAAATGTTGATGATGGTTATAAGCATGAAGGATTGCAGCAGCTAATCCGTGAGAAGTCATTGTATCATTAAGTATAGACTGATTGATTGAGGTTCCATCGCAATCAGATGAAATAGCGTGAATTTTTGTATCAGAATAATTTTGAATAATTTTGTTTTTAACTGAAATATGTTCATAGTGTTTGTTCTCAAGAGTAATTTTTTTAGTGAGGACTTGGGTACTCATCTTTGTGTTTCTTTGAAAAAGAAATTATGAAAGAAATGAGGATATGGCGTAAATATATACAATTGCACATCATATACAAATTAATTAAGCACAATAGGAGTTGCGGGCTTGCGGCAATGCATGGCCATACTGATCGGGTAGTTACCTCGGATGCACCCCGGGTAGTACCCTGGATGCAAACGGGAACCGTTATACAGTCCGAAGTACCGTTTTGAAGTACTAAATATATTTACTTCTTCTTCAAGGTAAATATTTCTTTTATTCAAATAACAATGTCATAAATAATAATTACTTATTTATCTTAGTATTTATGACTAATGAAATTTTTTTCATTGTAATTAATAATTAACTCGTTGTGAAATATATTATCTGTTATCATATGTTGTAAGAATAATTGCATCTGCCAATCCATGAGAAATTATTGTAATTATCAGTTATTTGAGAAAGTTTCATCGTAAACAGTTGAGAAAAATTATTTATTATTCTTGGTTAATTTTGGGTACTTCATCCGGCTTACTTTCATCATACTGAATAGATAGTATAAGGAAAGTGAGTGTCCAAATCCTAGATTCGATAACTTATTGCATTCCAAAAGATTAACCCATCGCGCCCGGCCGACTTCATGAAATCAATATCGTTGTCGAAATCTGTGGTACTGCCGTAAAAAAAAGATTATGTTATCCGTTAATCTAATCCGAATTCCTTAGTAATTGGCTACTCGGACATCAGGAATTTTTTTTCCACATGGAAATCCACACCGAATATTGTGGAATGTAGAAATCTGAATAGTTCTAATATTTTCCAAATAACTTGTGACAAACCACGTGGTATTTTCGGGGTAGATCCACTCCGCGTAGGATATATTGGGTATAATTACGTTTAACATATAGAGTAAGATCATTATTAGCGTGAAATCTAGGACAAAATTGAGGAGGATTCATATTCAAAGCAAATCGAGGAAAAGGACGTTGAAAATTTACTTCGAGGTAATCCAGAGAATAATCTGGGATACCGTCTTATATATTGACATCTGCATCATCATACTGAGATTCTAAAGAAGTTGAATGGAAAATAGAACGAGAAACATGTATTTATTGTAATGATATTATAATTTATTATAGTGCACATGACTGATAAGCCACGTGGGACTAAACTTTACTCATGAGAAATATAATAATATTAATAATATTAGAGTTATATCAAATAATAATAAAAAATAATTATTTATAAGTAAACTATTTTAATAGGCGAACGAAGTAATATGTCTGATCTTTAAAGTATATCGGTTTTGTCGTTTGAAAGGATATTTCAAATTTTTTTTTTGTAATTTGTAAATTAGTAATTTAGTGGTTTTTATTTGATACGAAAGTTTTTCAAATTTAAATTATTTTAGATGATAGTATTAAAACTCTTATATAAAGAATCGTTGATTGTCTTCGAAATATACGATAATGGAAATACGATATTTGACATATTAAACAAGAGAAGCTAAAGTTATCAAAAATTCAATGTAGCGTTCTCATATTAAATAAATGTTATTTGTTGAACTTTTCAAAATGAGAAAATCATAAAAAACTTATTGAAGTTAATACATAATTCACAAATTTAATGGAAAAAGTGATAAAATAAGTAATAAAATAAAAAGCCTTATTCGGTAAATATAAAATATTTAATGAATCATTTATCTTTGGTTTTACTTTCATTTGCAGTTTTATCATTAATAACGAACCAACCAATAACTGATTTATCTTTGTGTAGAAATCAATAAAAATTATTGCAATAAATTACAGTATCTTACGCAAAGTCGGAAGACGATACCTAAAAAAAAGAAAAAATCAAAACTTATTTTAGAAAAAACCAATAAAAAAAAAAATCGAAAATTGAATGTCATTTTTATTTGTCCGCTTTCCAATTTTAATTATATTTCAACAAATAACAATTTAACTTATATTCTTTAATTATTTTAAATTGTTGTCCGGAGCGAATGCGAAGGACTATATATGTCTACGCACTATGAAAAATGATCGATCACGTGTCACGGAATTCCAAGGCGTTATGCTGCTAATTAGTAGGAAATCGCTACCATTCTTGATATATGTTAACATCTTTATTATTATTTATTATTATTATGATACCTCGCTCCGGACTTACAACGGTTCCCGTTTCCTAGTATTATTGTATTTTAAGAATTGTTTTTCCTATTTTTTTTTATTCTATTACGATAAAACTGTTGTAGTATTATAGTATTATATATTTAATATAAAGTGTAGACTATTTAATTGAATTAAAATAATTATAATTAATGAATAAATACATATTATTGGTCAGTCTAATAGGATCATGCTGATTTTGACGCTAAATAATTGATATTTTTCTTTTATTGGCTAAATATCAAATATATTTGCAACCATATTACAGTTTAATTATACTTTTTATATACTCTTACTATAATAATAGCATGATCTTGTGTGACTGACGCAATAATCTAGTTATTGGTTATGGTGGATAAAATATCGTGTCACCCCTTCGGGGTGACCGATATTTTACCGGTAAGACGAATACCAGTGGTGTAGGGTCGACCACCTGTCACCTGTGTGGTGTATGGTGATATTTAGCTCGGCCCACTCCAAATCACGTGTTTGGCCCATCGCGTTATTTATCACCTGTGTAAGCTGTCACATAGGAGACCATACACTACACATCTCCTTGACCCTACACCACTCATCTCCGTAGCACTCATATTTTACCCCCAACCAATAACTATAGTGAATGGTATAATAATTCATTTATTGCTAAGAATACTTGATAGATTGTGTTTTCTCTTTCAGACTTTTTATATTATTTAAAACTTGGTTCAAAGATACGACCTAGTATGTAAAAAAAAAAGAAAAATTTTATTATATGTAAGTAAACGTTAAAAGTTTATATTTACCGTATAAATCGAAAGGCAATGTGTATACCTGATACATCGTAATTCAGAAGAGTGCGTGTCTTGCAATTAAATTTACCACGATTATACTACGTTTGATCGGCATGTACTGTTCAATATATTATTAAAGCACGACAACCGAAATTTTTGAAATATTTTTTTTTATCTGGACGTTCATTAAATAACATTATTCATCCAGATTTTACCTAGATCGAAGCATTAATGGTATATGATCTTTGGACTTATAACGTGTTCTGCCATAATTAACGAAGTATAAATCTATTTATATTACAAATGATCAATGAAGTTTATAGAAAAAATTGTTTCTTATTTTCTTTATATCTTTAATTATTGTAATAAGCGATATAACAGTTTATCGAAAACATTTCAACTTTTTTAATTTGATAATTATAAAAATAAAATAAAAGGAAAAAAACATACAAATGATATTCAAACATCTCACATCATTTCATTTCAATTCTAAATTTTTTAATATCTCCAATTTTCCTATATTAATCTCATTATTATTCTTTTTCTTTTCATTAAGTTTTGTAATCAAATTTTCAATTTTATCATTCAAATCATTTTTCATAATTTTGATTTTTTCAATCTCTGATTCAATATTATCTTCATATACCCAAATTGAATGTTTATCATAATTCCTCTCTTTAAAAATATATTTCGTAAATGTGGATTTTTCTTCAAATCCTTTATAAATAGCACCTCGATCATGCTTTCTTGAATCATACCATTCTTCAATAGTTTTAGATTGACCAAAATAATAAATATGTTTTGGATCAGGTTCATGGTTCCAATAATGAATATGGTGTAATGCTTCATAATCTGCTATGATTATTGCTCGATGTCTTAATAAAGTTTGTCGACCTTTAATTTTTGCTTCTTCATATACACCACTAAAAAAAATAAACAAATTAATCATTAAATAAGCAAAATTAGCGCAAAACAAGAATAAAATTTACCTCATAAAAGCAATCAACATATTTTGTAAAACAATTATAAGGAATAAACTAGCAACTAAAGTAAATACGTCAACAGCCCAAAAATTAAAATCATCTCTTTGAACCCAATCCCCATAAAGCCATAAATATGTAGTCATCATTGCCGTGTAATAAGTTGAAAATGGATTATCATTAGATTTGGATTTAAATGAGATATTAAGTGTCTCATTTGTTGAAGGATTTGTAACATTTCCACTGTATATAGAATCTTTTGTTTCAATATTTCTTGGATTACTGAGTAGAACAAACCTATTTATAATAATATAAGAGAAACTATTATATTGTAGTTTAAAATGTAATAAACAAATTAGAAAAAAACGTTTTATACATTGTATGAGCAAATGCAAGTATCACTATTAACATAAACAAAAGTAATGGAAATATGGATTTGAAGATAATTATAACAAAATAAATATATATGCCAATATCTATAAATAAAAAAATAATTTAGTTAATTAATCATCATGATAGAATAATATTTTATTTAAATCATACTTGAAAGTATACGGAGATATAAAATCTAAATAATAAAAAAAATCGATTAGTATTAGTATATTAATTTTATATACTGTAGAAGAGACTTACCGATTCAAACCAAAGAAAGAAAATCGAGAATGATATTCCAACAATTAATCTAGTGTCAGCTTCATTAATACCTCCAAATCCATCAGAAAAAGTAAAATCTTTTAGCATTATTGACATTACTGTTACAGAAAGTACAATGGAAATCATATCAAAACTATTAAATATTTCTCCAAGATATTTTCTTGGTCCACGATAACTAATCTGTAACATTTCAACAACAAATTGATAAATAGCCAAATAATAGAATACAATGATTAATGCAAATAAAAATTTTCCATTTATAATTGTGCTATGATTTACATATGCCCAGCTAACTAATCCAAAACAAAAGAAATAAATTAGAAATCGAATAAAGAGAGATAAAATGAAATTAACTGCTTCACGCCAACGAAAATCAATAATCGCTTCAGTTGCTGGATTATCATAAATATCATCGTTATTCTCATACAATATCATCCTAGAAAAAGGGCTTAATTTATCCTTCTCATCTCTACCAATTTTATACCATCGTGGTATAAATATAAACCAAAGAATATTTAAAATAATTTTTCTGGAATCATAATTTACTTTTTTCTTTGGATTTTCATTAATTTCATTTATAGTGAAACTGGGAAGAGGAACTACTCGTAAAGCTATTGGTGATTTTCCAAGATTATTATCAAAATCTTCGAATTTTTCTGCTATTTTATTCTTAAAAGAGTTAAGTTTGTCCATAATTTTATAGTATGGCTTATATTTATCAGACTTCATTTCATCTATAGGTCTGAACGCTCTAAATTTGATGTTATGATTACGTCTTGCTTTATATTCTGTTGGAATAATCTCATCAGGATCCTGACCTGAAAAGTGATCATGATCTGCAAAACATTCTTTAAAAAATAATTTTCTGGCATAATCATCTATTTTAAAATAATAAAATTGTAAATTTTACAAATTTATTCTGAATGAAAAAGAAATAAAATTTAAAAACGAACCGTAATTATATTTAAATAATAAAGGAATTGCTTTAGAAACAGTACACATCCAACCCGCACAATCCGTTGCATATCTAGAATAATATTCCAAAAGATATGCAACAACAATTGTATCTTTAAGTTCACGCCCTATAAATAAGATGAAATTTAATCATAATTAAATAAACAGCACTGCGCCATAAATTAAATTTAGAAATCTACCGTTACAGTTATAAATTGCTAATTCCATAATATTTTTCGGCTTGATTTTTTCCTTATCTTTTAGCTCATCTTCAGTTTCATCAAAGTTAAGATCATCATCATATAAAAATATTTTTCCAGGCCACAATGTATTACTTGGTATATGTCTGACGAGATTTTTCACTTTTTTACCTTTTTCATTATAACCATTTTTATCTTCCATGATTTCTTCATCTCCAAATAATATAAATTTTATCAAATGATTACAGTCACTAAGAATTAAACTTTTCATAACATTATTTCGAACATCCAATAATTTAAAATTTTCTGGCTCGTATTTAACAAATCTCCAGACTATATGTTTGATGTAGCTGATCATCTCCTCATACTTTTTTATATTAAAAGAAATGTTAATTAATTTATTTGATAAAAACAAATAAGATTTATTAAAATCAACCTACTTCATGTGTGACAATATAATTATTTGCAAGGTTTCTATGTTTATAACGCTTATTAAGATGTTCTAATGCTTTGCAAGCATGTCTTACTGTATGAGATTTTTTAATAATGAATTTTCGTTTAATTTTTTTTTCCCACTTTCGTATGTTTCCATTTTCCTTCATTTTCTTTTTTTCCATTTCATCTATTTTTTTATCATCTTCCCTTATTATATCATTTTCTCCTTTTTTTTTTTTTACACTCTCTTCATTATCTTTGTCAACTCTAATATACCAATACACTTTTAAAGAGAAATCTATTAATTTATCATGTAAATTCGTTCCATATTCGAAATTTTCAATTCGTAATCTTGTTTCTTTCCTCTCTTGATTTACTGGAATACGATTAGTCCATATATACTCAAGAAATGGTTCTCCTTTGTTGGGAAGTTCATCTTTATTTTTTTTATCATCCTGGATTTGATGCCAAATTTGAACTGTAGTCCTGCCAACAATAAGTTGTAATGTTTCTATTTCTGATCCTTCTTTGTTTTGATAAAGGCAATAAGAATTTCTTTCATAATCGCCCAAAACCCATAATTCTTTGTCACTAACTATTGGTTTAAAATCCTCATTTTTGTTTTTATCGTAATATATATAATGACTTTGCTTTTTATGTTTTTTTGATATTATACCTTCTTTATGATATAATTTTTTATTTTTTTCCTTTTTAGTTTTTTTTAATTCATTTTCAACTTTTTTAAGGACAGATGAAACTTTTCCATCATCATCAATTTGTAAAATATTTCCTGATGTTCTGGCTAAACAAGTGCTAAGATTCTTCATAGTGATAGTTGAATTATCAACAAAGTTGGGCAATTTTTCAGCTTTACCAGTACTATATAAATCCCAAACTATAAATTTTAACTCTTTTTCTCTTTCACCTATAATAAGTATTTTTTCATCACTATCAATAAATTCTAATAAATGTATTTTTTCTATTTCATCAAACTCCTTTGAGATAATTTGTAAACCATTTTCCATATAATACAATCTATTAAATGTGAAATAATTAATGCAAAATTAAATTAAATTTTATAACATCATTTAAATATGATTGATTGACTTATCAAATAACAACTTACTTAACATTGTTAATTCCTCGAGTAAAACAAAGTTGTATCTTTCCAACCGAAAATGTGTCATAATAATATTGATTTATGAATTTATCCTTATTTTCAACACTTTTTGCAGTAGTTTCTAATGTCATTTTTTCCAGATCATAAACTAAAAAATGAAATGTATTAATATTTTTTTGACATAATTATGATTATACTTAATAGATAAACTATTTTACCTTCGAGTGATTGAACATTATTTGTGTATTGAGTGACCAAAAAATATTTATTGTAAATACATGAGAAAAGTCGTTTCATACAATCATTATCTGTTTTTGCTGTATACCAATTATCCAATTCACGTCTAATACTTCGTGGATATTCAAACTTTTCATCCAAATTAAAGAAATTAAAATGATCATCAAATTTAAAATTATATATCCCACGGAAATTTAATATTATAAATTTTTTTAGTTCATTTTTATCTTCATATTTGTCATTTTTATCTTCATCTTTGTCATTTTTATCTTCATCTTTGTCATTTTTATCTTCATCTTTGTCTTTTTCATCTTCATCTGGAGCTTCTTCTACAAAGCTACATATTCCTGAAATGTTATTATAATAATAACGAGTCACAGCTTTAAGGACATAATTTTTTTTCTTTTCTTTTTCATTATCCTTTATTTCTTCCATACCCTCTTTCATTTTTATATCTTCAAATTCAAGGCGATAAATAGCGATTCCTTTTTTAGGTTCATTCTTTAATTCAGACGTTCTATCGTCCAATTCTTCACTTTTATGTTCTTCCACATCAATTGTAGTATCGAATTTGGTATCTTCGTTTTCTAATTCACATTTAAATTCCTTTTTACTAATAGCGATTCCTTTTTTTCTATCATCCAATTCTTTTTCTATATCAATTGTAGCAGTATCTTTGTCTTCTAATCTATATTCAAATTTCTTTTCACTAAGATTTCCTTTTTTATAATTATCTTCATTATTATTATTCACTTCCCCTTTCATATCCTCGTCAACTTTTATACGAGATACGGCGACAAGAACAAAATATTTAAAATCTTTGTCATCACTTTTCTTGTACATGTTTGATATATCAAAGGACCATCTAAATTCTTTCTCTAAAGATCCAACGGATGGAGGAGACGTGTTATCTTTATCATCATCTTTCGAGTTGCTACTATCTAAAGATCCAACGAATGGAGGAGGCGTGTAGTCTATATATTCATCATCTTTCGAGTTGCTACTATATAAAGATTCAACGAACGGAGGAGGCGTGTAGTCTATATCGTAAAATTTATCGATATCAAAGTCATTATTTATTTTAAAATAAGCGATTGTTTTAGCAATCTCATCGGACTCATCGGATTCATCCTTATTATTCTTATTATTTGAATCGTTATATAATATGAATTGACGATGATCAGTGTTTTCTAAAATTTTAATCCGAAGGTTTTCTATTTTTTTTAAAAAAAATGAATACATCATTATATATTTTAAATCATCTAAATATTTTATAATAACTGGACATATTTATTTTTACCTGTATCAAATGTAACAGCAAATTTTCCATCTTGGCAAATTTCAATTCGATAAATACTATCTTTCTTCTTAGTAGTAGTAGAATGATCACCTGACATTTTATCTAAAAGATAATACGAAGCTGAGAGAAAATATGAGGAAGTCAAATCCGAAAAATTATGGAATTTATTTATTTATACTTTTTTTTTTTAAAAAAAAAGGGACTTTTAGTTTCAGAACCAAAATTGGAAGTCACAACAAAATGATTTGTGCGATGTAATAATTATTCTTTTTTTTTTATTGAAAAAATCTAAATTAAGAAACTGTGAATTAATTTGTGATCAGATACAGATCACAAATTGGGTATCCGACTATAAACTCATGATTATCATGCATGTTTGTGCAATATTAATATTTTTATTTTCCATTAATACAATTTTATTTCTTTTTTAATGTATAGAATTTGAAACTTGTGATACTTTGAATCTTTTATCCCTGACATTTTTGATGAATTTAAAAAGGATTCTGAAAATCCCACTTTTTTGTTATTTGTTTATTATTTTTATTTTTATGAATAAAAAAATGTTCATTCATACATTGGGATATTTTGATAAATTTTATGCAAAGGAATTTTAATATTTCAATTCTCGGTCTACTGCCAATCATCTAAATTCACGTGATTTTAGCGCATGTTGATACCGAAGTTAGTTTTGGCTTTTGTCAATTATTGATCATTACTTTTCTCCCATAATATTGGTAGGATAATAAAAAATAATTATTTACTAAGTATATTAGCTTAATTTGCAGGAATATTTATATATATCTATTGAAATTAGAAATACCTTATTATAAAATAATTGGTGACCTTATATTTATTATTTGTTTACATTTTGCGGTAACACAATTTTATCTTTTTCTAGTAATGGTAAGTTTTTTCGCTGTTATAGATTTCTTATTTCTTTCGTTAACGTTAATGTTGTGAACAATTTAGTTTTTACTTCCATTTTGTGGAATTTTTGAAGCTTTAGTTTGACGCAAGAAAAAAGAAGCTTACGTTATAAACATAAGTTTTGGTCAGAAATGTTTGATATTGTTAAATATAAAAATATTGGATTAGACTTGGAAATTGCAAAGAATAAAAGAACGATAGAAGAAAATTAATGAAGTTAATAATAATTACCGAATAAATATTAAAATATTCAATGAATGGAAGGAGTTATATTATAACCAAATAGAAGTTGCTGAAGAATGGAAAGAAAGATATTATAAAGAATTTATGAACAATTTTGCCGATTTCTTTTTATAATGTTAACACGTACCTATTTCGAAGCACAATAGCTATTAATAAAAGCACTTATAAATACTGTATATATTATGTGTTTTTCTCGTTGCCTTTGCGTCTCGCTTATTAAATAAAGCTAATGAATTACCACTATATCTCTTGAATCTTCAAACGTAATCCATAACCTTGCTAAACCAATTTCAGTCGGAATTAAATTCTAATTCTAGCTGGAGTTAGTCTAATCCGGATTTAGATTCAAAGCCCATCATCCAAAATAAGAAATCAATGACCAAATAATAAAATTGCAATTTAATAAATGTTTCAATATTATCAAGCTTTCTATCATGACAGTATCATGACGCATATAATCAGACAATTTTGGAACTAGATTGCGCCATAGAGAAAAAACTATATAAAAGATAAAATTCTTTTTTTAGAAGGTTTCTGTAGTTCGGTCTTTTATTTTTCCGTTCCCTATAAATAGTAATGGTTTGTTTACCTAGTGATATGGTGACATACGATGACTATTGGTAGAGCAGCCATATACTAGTTGGATGGTGATCATAAATCTGTGAATTTCATCGTATGTAGGATAACCTTTTACAGGTTATCTATATAATCTATATCTATATAATTAAAAAAATTGTGTTTGTGTGACTAACGTTTAGATTAGCCTATATAAATAATCTTTGAATTGTCCAATGTGTTATTCATCTGCGCCTCTAACACTTGATCTATTACGTTTTCTTATAGACATACAATATTAATTACTACTAATGTTGTGTAACATTAATATGATCTATTGATTTGTTTGCGCCTGATCTATGCAAGACCACTTGATCGGCAAATTCATTCTAATTACTAATGTGCAGGAAAAGGAAATTTGTATAATTCTGGCCGGAATTATACCTTTGCAACTTTCTCCCAAAATTAAAATGACCACTCACGTTATAAATTAAAAATTTTAACTGCGTCAAATTATATATTAATTGCCAAGACTTCCAGAAATTATTTAAATTTTACATTTTACATTTAAAGTTATAACTGATATATCACATACTGTAACCCTTTTTTCCATCAAAATTAATTTAGTCACTTTCTTTAGCAAAGATCTAAATTTGATAAACGTGTGATCAAAAATGACGATCAATCAATTTATACAACCCGATGCGAACGATGCGAAGCAACGGGCTACTGCTAGTTTTTGATATAAAATTAATGGAGATCGGCACGATTGTGATTAATTTTTATAAATAAAGAAATTTGCGTCTTCTAAATAATTATATTGTAAAAATTACCTAATTAATTTCGATAATGCTCTAAACGGTTTTGAATTCATTTTCGTAAAATTATAAAATAAAATTGATCAGAAGGCAGATTTAAAAGTAAGGAAGACATAACAATAATATCTAAATTCTTTACGTCGAACTCTCTTTTCCTACAAAATATAATGGGCTTAGTCTGGGTGATTCGTCATACCATGAAAAGAAAGTAGAAACGGTTTTTAAGAAAACCGAAGAATTTTTTTTTAAAAGAAAACGAATAAGGTAAATCTAATTCTTATTGAACTGACATGATGGTTTGGTTTATAATAATTAGATTTAGGTTTATTAATACAACAATACAGCACTTTGCTTCTACTACAAATCGGAGTGATCGAGATAATTGAATTCTTTGAAACGGCTCAATTATACAAGATTGAAAGTTATCAAACTACTGTATATATCAATAAATATTTTTAAATTCAAAAGGGACTTACCATAATAGTTACTTTATAAATAATTTTTTTTAAAAAATTCCTTTTAATTATTTTTTTTTTAAAAAAAATGTCATTAAATTTAGTTAGGTGTACTTGCTCTAAATGTTACAATTATATTTCGAACGACATTGAATAATAATTGTCAAATAAGAGGACGTTTTATTTGAAAACTCACGAAGCATGAATATGAACGCAAAGACTCACAAAGGATTCATTTCACAATAAGAATCCTTCAACAAGAAAGGACATTATTAAACCCTAGAAAAATAACCCAAGAAATAAGCAATATGATAGTTGAGCAATTTCTCGACTTGAAACCCTTGAAGACGATACAATTAGATATTATTATAATGACACAAACTGAGATAAATATATCGTCAAGAACAAGACGTAACCTTTCGACATTCAAGGGCGGTACAAAATAGATCAACTATCACTGTTGTCCCTATTGAGGAAAGTTCTGTTGACGAAAGTTCTGAGGAAGGTTTTTTTGAGGAAATCGAACCATCCATTTCCTATACTAGATCTCTTGAGGAAAGAGTAAGAGATCTCGATTAGCGAGGGTTCACTTGTCCTTTTTGATTCTTGATGTCGGTACATAACATAACTTCTGCATTACCTTTCGTGATAATATGTAGTTCTTCGGACTATGCTTCAGCCTTCAGGTGACGACTTATGTAAACATCAACCATATTTTCTTTTAACAAATGTGATGAATTAATTAAAGACCGAAAAATTTAGAATTTGTTTATAGTTAAAATCTAAAATAATATGAAATTTATATTAACTAGGAAACGGAAACCGTTGTAAGTCCGGAGCGAAAAAAAAAATAAACCTTTATCTTGTTTATCTGATGTATCGAACAACCGGATATCGTCACGTAACACTATTTGACATAGTCCTTCGAAAACATATATAATCCTTCGCTTCACTCCGGACAATAAGTCACGTGAGCAAACTTACAATAAATTAACTCATGAACGAGTAAGATATATTATTTTAGAGTTAATATATTAAATAATAGAAAATAGTAAACTATTCCAATGGGCGAACGAAGTTAACACAATGTTAGGAATAATATGTTTTCTGCTCTTTAAAATATCAGTTTCGTCGTTTGAAAGGATATTTCAATTTTTTTTTAATAATTTGTAAATTAGTAACTTTTGATACTAAAGTTTTTCAAATTTAAATTATTTTAGTAGAATATTATATAAAGAATCGTTGACTGTCTTTCAGTTTATATGTAAGCTTTCTAAATATACGAAAACGGAAAACACGATATTTGACATATTAAACAAGAGAAACAAATTAAAAGTTATCAAAATTCAATGTAGCGTTCTCATAGTAGATAAGTGTTATTTATTGAACTTTTCAAAATGAGAAAATCAAAAGAAACTTATTGAAGCTAATACATAATTCACAAATATAATAATGGAAACAATGATAAAATAAGAAATAAAATAAAAAGCCTTATTTGGTAAATATAAAATATTGATAAAATGAACTTTAATTTAATGAATCATTTATCTTTGGTTTTACCTTCATCTGCAGTTTTATCATCAATAACGAACCAACCAATAACTGGTGAAACAACTAATTCATTAGAATTCTCAAGAGCGTATTGTTGCGCGCCTAAAAATCCTGCAACTAATTTTAAATAAAATCCAGTATCGGTCGTAAATGGAACTTCAACTCTTCCAGTAGGAATGTCACTTGGTATAAGTGAATTATAAGTTACTTTTTCTCCATCTTTCGCATAAGGAAAAAAGGCCATCATCCATCCATCAATATCACCATTGTAACCCGAACCATATTGTTGCCTTGAAGCGATTGTTGCCCAAAACTTCTCATCAATTTCACCTTTATAGGTTTCAACCAATTTCCATACAACTGGATCCAATCTATCTAACCAAAAATCCATATCTAAATCCAATTGACGTAATTGAATTACTTTCTCTTGTAATTTTGTCCAATCTTCTAAAGTACCTTCAAGAGTAATTTTAGGGATTCCACAAAGAGTAAAACCCTTATAAGAAAAATATGCTTTAACCATATCCAAAAGAACGATACGACTAGCAGTAAGAGAAGATTTTGTTGTTGTAGAAAAATCACATTCTAATAAAGGTTTTATATCAATTTTTTCTACAGCTCTATCAGTTTCCACAGTTAATAATTCTATTGCTCTAGGCCAATCTCCTTGAAGTCGAGAATCTTTATTATACAAAATACCATCAATACAAATAATTATATCTTCTTTACCTTCATGGTTAACAAAACGAGAACGAAATTTTTCTGCATTATAATTAATGTGATGACTAACTCCTTGTGCGATAGTTAACCAAATATCATCAGGTGTTAAACGTAAATGTTGATGATGGTTGTAAGCATGAAGGATTGCAGCAGCTAATCCGTGAGAAGTCATTGTATTATTAAGTATAGACTGATTGATTGAGGTTCCATCGCAATCAGCTGAAATAGCGTGAATTTTTGTATCAGGATAATTTTGAATAATGTTGTTTTTAACTGAAATATGTTCATAGTGTTTGTTCTCAAGGGTAATTTTTTTAGTGAGGACTTGGGTACTCATCTTTTGAAAAAGAAATTAATATGAAAGAAATGAGGATATGGCGTAAATATATACAATTGCACATCATATACAAATTAACTAAGCACAATAGGAGTTGCAATGGTGAAGCGCCATACTGATCGGCGTGTAGTTACCTTGGATGCATCCGGGGTAACTACATGAGTGTTAAAACCGTGATCTGATGTTATCCGGAACCGTTATACAGTCCGAAATACCGTTTTTGAAGTAAATATATTTACTTCTTCTTCAAGGTAGGGATTGGAATCGATTAATCGAAAATCGACAAAACATAGTAAAATCGATTCTCGAGAATCGATTCTCAGCAATTTTTTACATGTAAGTTAACCTGACTCCAAAGTAATTTTTCATGCCGGCCAAGTGCTGATTATTTTTGCTGAAATTAGAAACTGATTCAAAGTCAGGTTGGTCGTCTATAAGAAAAATCTTGAAAAGATTCGATTTTCGATTCCAATTCCTACTTCAAGGTAAAGATTTCTTTTATTCAAATAACAATGTCATAAATAGTAATTACTTATTTATCTTATTTATGACTAATGAAATTTTTTCATTGCAATTAATAATTAACTCGTTGTGAATTATATTATCGTATGTTGATGATTGTTGTAAGAATACCTATCCATGAGAAATTATTGTAATTTTCAGCGCATATTTATTATTTGAGAAAGTTTCATCGTAATCAGTTGGGAAAAGTTTTGAAAAATTATTTATTATTCTTGGTTAATTTTGGGTACTTCATCCGGCTTACTTTCATCATACTGAATAAATATAAGGAAAGTGAGTGTCCAAATCCTAGATTCGATAACTTATTGCATTCCAAAAGATTAACCCATCGCGCCCGGCCGACTTCATGAAATCAATATCGTGTCGAAATCTGTGAAAAAAAAGATTATGTTATCCGTTAATCGAATACGAATTCCTTTCTTTTCATTGCTCACAGGTGTCACAGAAAATTTCATAAGTTACAGGACACTGAAAAATTTTGATGCCGACGGAATATTCGTCGGTACGTAGTAGTACTTGGTTACTCGGATTGCTAGGATAAACTCTAAACATCAGGAATTTTGTTTCCACATGGAAATCCACATCAATCTAAATAGTTCTAATATTTCCAAATACCTTGTGACGAAACACGTGGTTTTTCGGCGTAGATTCGATGTGAATCCGCGTAGGATATATGGAAATGTATGGAATTTCACATATTTCTGAACTAATCCATGTGGATTACGTGGACCCAAAAATTTCATGATGAAAGTGTTCGCGCCATGTATACTTCTCAATTCCTACATAACAATCCGGAAAAATACCAGTTTCTGCGTACATACGAGAGGATCACCCAAAAATCTTGACACCCATAATATCGACAGTCTATAATTCTGACACCGAAATCCAAATCCCGATTGAATCAAAATCCTGAAAGTCACAGAATCCCGATGATCTCAGCCAATATCACGACTGAGATTCGATCAGATGAATTTGAGATTAGTTGATTTTTTTAATGTAATTATTTCTAATTTTAGAGGATAAGGAATAGTTTAGTAATCTAGTAATATACTGTACATAATCCTTTTAACTAAGATAAAAAATTTTTTATTTAATTTTCATTAATAATATAGTAACATTAGTTAATTTGCATTAATATTAATAAAATTTGCAAACAATTTACATTGGTATTAATAAAATTTACAAATTATATTTTAATTATATTGAATAAATTAACCCGTTACTGTGTCACTGCATTTTTAAAATTATATGCTTAATTGGAAAATTTATATAATTTTTTTTTTCTAAAAAAAAAAAACTTTGGGATTTTGACTGTCAAGATTTTTAACTGTCAGAATTTGACTATCGGTATTTTATTTTAACGGGATTTAGTTGTCGGGATCTTGGTGTAGACTGTCGATTTTATGGTTGTCGAGATTTTGTGGTAAACTCCATATACGAGAGTATATATTACATTACACTTTGTTTTAGTAGCCGAACACCTGCTAGTACTCGGCATGCAATAGGAACGTTTATATCCACAAATCCGGATATAAACTATCCGTTTATCTGTCTATCTAAACTGTTTAAAAAAACTTATCGTTTTTACACATTCTATAAATATTATTTGATTTTAATACTAGGCGCTAAATTTATAATCATCAGACCATGAAAAAGAACACTTGTTACATACTTACATATTATAGATATACAATATAAAGTTTGATATTAATCAATTGATTTATATAAGTAATTGCAATTATAATTAATTATCCTAAATTCTATATTAAAATAACAATATAATGTATTATTAGAACCCGCTAATAAATGATTAATTTACATATAAATAGAAACATAATTATGTATATATTATACTTATTAAAAAATTTATATTATTCCTTAAATAAAACTTACTACATCTTTGATTCATCATAACTAATTTTAATTTCATCAGTCTCATCATAAAATTCAATTTCTTCTTTTTCGATATTTTTATTTATGAATAAATGATAACCATATTCAATTATACCAATTAATGTCATAACAATACTAGTAATTAACGTAAAAAAAGCGATAATTTTATATGAATTTGTAAAATTTCTAGCATATATAATCTAAAAAAATTTTTAAAAGATAGAGTTAATGATAAATAATTAGTTAAATAACATAAGTAAATATTTATTTACCTGAATTACTAATTGAGGCAAATCTTCTAGAATAAGATTTAAAAAACCACTCCAGAATATTAAATTTAACGCTAATGGGGAGAATGATGCTTCAAATATTTGAAATCCGCCAAATTTTGAATCAAATATATGAAGTAACTCAACGTCTCCTGAACTAAAAAATGTTATAATAGCGACCGGTTTTAAATACTTTTTAAGCCATTTATTAAATTCAGGGTATTGTATTTCATGTGAAAATATTATAAAAGCCAAAAGAATATTTAAAATGAAAGGAATTAATAAAAATATAACGCTATAAAAATTATAAATTAAAGTCAATTCATTATTTTTCAATGAAAATTATAAGATAAAGTTATTTTAAAGCTTTACCTTGGGACATAAAGATACTGTAAATCATCTTCAAGTAAAATTACAAATCCAATATCATTAAATAGATCAAAAATGATCAATGCCACTCTAAGTATAATTATGTTAGATCCCTAAAAAAATAAAAAGGATGTTCAATATTCGTATATTAAAATAAAAGAAAAATTCAAATTATAAATAAATTTTTACCATTCTATTTTTATATCTCCCAAAAAAGTACAAAATAATAATTAAACCGGTTGAAATCATTAGTATTATTAAAGAAACAGTATTCCTCACAAAATTATGTAAACTAATTTTAATTTCTTCCCATAGGTTGGCTAAATAAAAAAATGTATGTTAATTTTATTAGTAAAACTAGGAAACGGGGAACCCGGTGTGACGATCAGGGAAATTCACGTGATCGATTTTACGTAAACATATATTGTCCCTTCGCTCCGTACAATAAATGTGTTTAAAGATAGATTTGTTTACTTACATGATCTTTGAAATCCATACCCCTTATCAATATTTTTTGTATAATTACTAGTATCAAGATATGTTATAAACTTATCATTTCTAATTAAAGAATTTAAATCATCATAGATCTCTTTGGCGCTTTTCTTATTAAAACAATTTTCACCTGGAAGGTCAATTCTATATGAAATTAAAAGTAATTCTGAATCCGTAACTATATCATGTTCATAAATATCATCGACTTTATAAATTCTTGAATCATCAACCGGGATACCTTTCGAAAGGTCAATTTTCATGAATTTAAAAAACTCATTTCGTCCATTTTTATCTAATTTACTAAATTCTTGAGTACCTTCCGGATTTAAGCGTAATATTCCAATAATAAAATCATCTAAATTGCAACCGTTGGTATTAAAATAAAAATGATGATTTTGGTAGAGTATTTATGATTACTTACTATTATCTTTTTCAGGATGTTTATATTCTAAAATAAATAATAATTTAATTATAAAATTTCGGGAGACACGTAAATCAATATATTTTAATCTTTTGCTTACCGGATGCTGTATATATATTCCAACTTTTTGGTTTTTTTATACCTGGAACCGTTTCAATTTCATATTTATATTCCACAAAATTATCTTCGATTTCAACATAATAAGAAGCATTTGGTATGTTGAAAGTAACGTTTGATGATAAATTAATTATGAGCGAATACGAATCTTCGCTTATTGTACAAAATGGCATTGTACATAAAAATTTTTGACGTAAAATATCTTCATAATTATGATAATGATATATTGAAATATAAACAGGAATTGTTGGGTCAATAGGATTAAGGAATGTCATATTCATTTTGTCTGTATAAATTTCGATTAGATCGTTTTCTGATGGATATACTTGCTTGATATGAATATTATTAAGTAGATTATCTAACAATAAAAAGAGAGAATATTAATTATATTAAATATATTTGTAAATATTAAATATTTACTTACATATACTTTATACATACTTTTAGGTATAATTGTTGTTAGATCAGTTGACTCATAAGTAAATGATTTATCCCTTTTTATCGCTCGAATAACTGTAGTATTTGAAATAAAAAGGTTATCACCTATATAATCATTATCATTGTTGTTTATTATAATTTCACCGGAAGCACTTTTAATTGTTGTATCAAAATAATCAATTTCTGCAGTATTAAATATAAGATATTTTGTTTTTGCATTTGATACAACTTCAACTAAGAATCCAATTTCCGGTATAATATGAATAATATTTGCTGTAGAACTAATACTTTCAAATTTATAAATATTAATAAAAGGGAATAAATCTATTGAGCGCATATTAAATGTGTTATTTAAAGTTAAATTATTAATATCAATCAATTTTAACGTATTATTGTATGAGGTGACGTATATGCAAGTGTAGTTAATGTCATTAGAAATACAAGAAACACCAATAAAAGAGATATCCTTAATTATTGAGGGATTCAGATTTCGATTCTGTGATTCATTATGAATTAATGAAAAAAAAGCATCTTTCTTATTATAAATATATTCACTTTTTTCCTCTAAGTCCACTTTATATATAATTCCCCATATATCTCCTAATAAGAATATTTTAAACTCGATAATATTTTTAATTCCTACTCCATTGAAAGTTAGATTTTTTTGTGCTTTAATTCCTATTGTTCCATCATTATTAATAAAATATTCAGCAAATAAAATGTTTTGTGATGTTTCATTGTATCCCGCAATGAGAAATCTATCACTCCTCTCATTCATAACGAATTCAAACTTGTCACATTTACTCTGTGTTATTTTTGAAGTTATTATATTTCCCGTCCAATCCATTATCATTCCTGACTTTTCGTACCAAATTATTATATAATTTGGATTTAATGGGCTTGGATTATATTTGGTAGGATCACATGTATTACATGGAATCGTAACATTATTGATAAAATTAAGAGTTCCGTTAGGATAAATTAAACGAAGGCTTATAGTATTATTTGGATAACCTTTAAATCTCACTCCTATTAAAATTGTCCCATCAGCATAAACTCCTTTAAAATAATTGTCATGAACAGTATCATTTTCATAATAAGTAGCAATTATATTTGACGAACATGGTAACAAGACAACAAAAATTAAGAGTACAATAGGAACTGGACGATTCATGCTGAATTAAATGAAATATAGCAAAAAGTCATTGATTATATGAAAACTTCATTGATTTTATATAAAAAATAGCAGCAGTACATCTATCAAATTGATATAATTAATACATATAAATACAGATCGGATCAACGATGAGCAAACCCGAAATTACGATTTACCAGATTAACATCAAACAAGCATAAATTTATTTGTGGATCAATTAACACAAAATAATAGACAATTTACGCAAAAATCACCGACAGGTTATCCGTCTGATGAAACAAATTATTTTATAGTTTCGAAATTCAGTCCCTGCATCATAATCCTGACTGCTAAAATCTGAAATGAAAATCCCGACAATTTCAAAATCCCGAGTCCCGACACCAACTTTTTAGTGTTTACATAACAGCATTGAAAATTTTTATTATCGGGATTGTCGGGTACTCGGGTTACTCGGATTCGGCTAGTCGGGTTATTAAAAAGTTATATAACACGTGCCGTATACATACATATATATATATATGATTAATACACTTTTTTTTTGCTACGATATCCATTTATACATTTTTGACAAATATTTACATCATTTTGGGTTGTTAAAAGTTCAATTCCTTCGAAATATTAGCAAAAACCCAGTCAACAAATTCCGAGTCCAACACAACTTTTTGATTTGTGGCACCTTTTTGTGTGAGGGGTTTGTGAACAAATTCTACTGCACAATTACGTTCAGCTTTTTTACTCTTCCATATTACTTCTCTTGCTTGACAAGTGCATTTTTGACCATATGTGTTTTGACAATCTAAACAAATAAGACAAATTGGACAGGAATTCAAACGAAATTCCAAAGAAAATGTCATTGTTCAATAAAAATCAAATAAAGTAATATTTGTTGAAAAAAAAGTTTATTTATTAATTTATGTTATATTGATATGTATAGTATATACAATTATACTCTATTATACTTTATAGTTTATACTACGCGATTTATTATATTCATATGTCACGTGTTATGTATCTTTTCTAATAACCTCGACTAGCCGAGTAACCCGAGTACCTGACAATCCCAAAAATCAAAATTTTCAAGTGTCCATTATATTTCGAAATTTGCTGTAAAATAGGTTATTCAGAGCGGATAAAGTATCGCTAGTCGCTTCGTTCCTTTGTACCATCATGATGATTATTTCTTGTAGAATTAATTTCACTTTCATATATAAAGAAATAAAGTTAAATAAGATCGGAATTTTGTCAGTTAGGATCATATATTGTCAGGATTATGAGTTTCGGGACTTTAGGACAGTACCTAATATTATACAGTATACCGATAATCGATATACCGAATTAAAGAATCGATATAACGACAAATTTTACTTTTTCACTATACGAACATATGATATCGGTATACATCGATATTTTTAAAAAATTTCATATGGATCGCATATTTTTATATCGGATTTTGACTATACTACTAACTGCTAGATTTAAAATAGTTTATAATATAATATTGAAATCAGGATTAAAACTTAAAAAAAAAAGAAAATTTCATGCCTTTTGTCATTAAATCTTGTGCGTGCTTAGATTCCCCAGTTCACTACTTTGATTTTCCATTCGTCTAACTAGCGCAAAATGTATCATAACACGAAAAATTTATAAGACTCAGCTCATTTAATAATATAAAAAGGATCTTAATTCGATTTCTCCTTATATTCCTTTTTTCTTGTCGTAATTGGTTAGGAAACTTTAGAATAGATATTATTATATATATTAATTATTTCATTATTCTGATAATGCTAAAAATTAGTTACTCAAATTTTCAGTTTAACGAATAGTAGTAGTACATCATATTTAACTCCTACCAATTATCATCCAAAATAATACATGAATACAATGCAATTATATATAATAATGTACAAGTCTTTTATAAATATATTGAGAACTTATTTGCTAAGCTTCATCTTGTTTTATTTACCTTTAGTATCTCTTTCTACCTAATTTTGAGTTTTTAATATTTAATAATATATAACAACTAAACCATTTATCTTATGATGTTAAAATAATTTTATTGATATTATTACTTAAATTTAAATAGTCAAATTTCTCAACATAAATAATATGTAGTATAATAATAATTTAGTATCTTAAAGTTTCTTGAAGAATTCTCACCTTAATGCAACATCCTGTTTTGAAATAAATATATCATTTCAGACATTTATATAATTAAAAATAGAACCAATATTGAATTTCTTTACATTATAAGATATATATTAATTGTAATGTCTACAGAAGCATGTATATTGAACTTACGTTCTGCAATCCTACATTTATGCTCTATTCAAAAAAACAGATGAGATACTACAAGCTAGCTAATATTTTGTAGGCAAAGTTGTTATTTTTATTAGAATTCTAATTAATTAAAAAACGTTGCGAAACGTTTCTTTTAATATATTATTATAGAAAAAACGCAACGTTTTTTTTAATTAATTTGATGAAAAAACGGTGCGAAACGTTTTTTTAATATATTTTTATAGAAAAAAACGTTTTGTTAAAAATCTAATCCTTATTATGATGGATATTTCAAATATAATTATAAAATGTTAGCCAAAACTCAAAACATAGTAAATATATTAATGAAATTTCACTTTCATCATGGACAGGCACAAAAGATAAATCATATCTTATATTCTCAGATCCTCATAAAATAACAACTAGTATATAATTAGTTGGTGCATATTATCCTTTTAGATATAATAATGATAAAAATAAGTCTGGATCATTAAACAGTAAATCAGAATTTAGAGTTCAAGAGTGCAATGTCGACAACGTGTAATTGATTAACATATTGTGGCTTTTTCGTTCCAATTGATTATTCCAAAAAGTTTAGCGTTATGGCAGTGTTATGGCTCCACAACTGGAACAAGATTTAATATCTCAATTTCAAAAATGCAGATATAAAGTTGCACTGAATTGATCAAAGATATATTATTGGTTAAGTAACATTAACACAATTATCTTATAGATTTTATAATATTATTCATAACGAATAATTTAAGAAAGCTGATTGCCCGAATTTTCATAATGATGGCATAGATAATATAACTATGATGATCCATAGGTTCATAGCAAATAATTCTAATATTAAAGTCAAAAATATAGATTGCACATTGATTTTTAAAAATTAATATCCAGGAAATGATGCTTGACTTCTAGTAGTAGAATTTGGAGTCACATTTTATTCTCTTAATATGTTATAAAATATTCTATTTTGCCATAATTCCTTTTGCATTTGATGACAATTGACAAAACAAAGTACAAGTAAATAACATAATGGCAGATTAGCCAAGGTACTAAAATTCTTGATCTATATAACATAAAGGAATAGCAAAAAACCTTCTATTCAAAATAATAAATACTAAAATTTTTAGTAGTATGGATGGAGTATGTATTTAAAATTAATTAAGATGTAAATAAAGCGAACTTCTTTATTATGTTTTAACATAAAAGTAGCAATAATTTCATTACCTCATATAAGAAATGAGTATATAGTATTTAATTATGGTACGATATTATTTGAAAGGTAAGGTATGGTCAATTATTTATAGGTACGATCAATTATGTATAGGTACGATTCAAAATCATACTGACATAGCGAATAATTAATGGCGTCGAATTTTTTTTATATAATGAGTTTGTTGATCGAAAAATTTTTTTCTTTCTCTTCTTTATTAATTTTTTCTTCACTATTATTAAAAATATAAATATATAATTATATCTACATCTGAAGATATTGATGAACCGTTAGAATATGATCCTTTTGTAAGTAAAAAAGTAAAAAAAAAATGTAAAATAAAATTTATTTTCCAAAAATTTATGATTTTTTTATAATAACAAGATTTTTCTTATTTAGGCAATGGATACTGAAGAAATAAATCAAGATGATGAAGAATCTGAAGTAGCTGTATTCACAAGAGACACTTTAATCAAAGATGTTAGACACACTTTGGTTCCAATTGAGTATCCTGCAACTTCAGATGAAGGAATTGCATATGTGTACCATGTGGAAAATTCTAAAGCTGCATTTCATGATGTAAATTTTGAATTGATTAAACTTTTTTATAAGGAAAAAAAAATTATTAGTTGAAAAATCTATGGCAAGCCGCACTGGTCAAAAGTGTGCTGCATTTTGCGGCAGGCGCGCCTGTTTTTAGGCGCCTGATGCGCTAAGTGCGGCAGGTGCACCTGTTTTTAGGCGCCTGAGTGCGGCAGGTGCACATAGTTTTTAGGCGCCTGATGCGCAGGATGCGCCTGGTTTTAGGCGCCTGAGGCGCCTAAGTGCGGCAGTTGCTCCTGATTGCGGCAGATGCGCCTGTTTTTAGGCGCCTAATTGCGGCAGGTGCAGCAGATTGCGGCAGGTGCGCCTGTTTTTTGTTCATAGGTTTTTTTTTGGAAATAAGCATCTTCTGAGCTTTTAGCATAGATCTACGTACATTGCACAAATTAATTTGATAATCTGATAAAAATAGTAAAGTTAAGCTTTTTTTGGTTCAAACTTGTTCCAATGGATCGGATGTTGTTTTATCCTTGAAATTATCACTTTTTTTTCAACCAACTAAATTTTATTAAATTAAATGTTCAAAATAATTATGAATATAAACATATAAAAAAATTTTTATCTTAATGGATTATCCATTGTATCATTTATTTTTGTTTTATTTTTATTTTTTTAAATTTTTTTTGCTTATAATCTTGAATAATTTCATTGTCTTTCTTTTATAATTGGTATTTTTAGTTTTCTTTTTAAATATATTTGTATAGTGAAACAAGTAAAATTTATTTTTAAACTTCATATGCAATTTTACAATAAGAATTCTATTACCTTTTGATTACATAGTTAAATAAAAGATTTTGACTTTTTTAGAAATTCAGTCTCAACATTCCATCTTTTAATGTAAAATAAATACATGAACAAAAAAATTGAAAAAATTAACAACTTAATACAATAATCACAAAAAGGTCTTTCATGTTTGTTATTATTATTAATCATATTAATACAAGATTTTATAATTATTAAATTATTAGGAGTTTATAAATTACCCGGGTTCTAAGATAGGAATTTTTTTTATTTCTAGTAAAATATCCAGGTCTTATGAAATT